GGAGGGGTAGTGTGTGTGAATGATTTCTGTTTAGGTCTGGCGAGACGGAGGAGAAGACCTGATGGACCCGTGACCCGTGGCAGAAGAAGGGGGCGTGATACGACACGCCCCCTTCTTCCTGCACATCTTCTGATATGCTTTGGCTTGGCCTCAGTCAGCAGAGGGCCAGCGAGGGACATAGACAGAATAGCATAGTATAGGAGCTCTTTTGTTTGAATTTTCTGTATCTGATTGTAAGGATAAATTAAATACAGATGTTAAACTTGGAATCTTTTGTCTTACTTCTGCATCAACTTTGGACACGTCCGTCAAAGGGTATTTTTGACAACAGTCCTCAGGCAACACACTTAAACCTACTTTGCCTGAAGCCCCCGCTGACAGAGCAAGGCTGGGTCTTCTTTAACAGAGCAGCCATCTTTCCGTGGACCCAGAAATAGACTAATAAAGGGGATTAAAATAAATGAATGAATGAATAATTTGTACTGATTATTTATTATCGTCAATGACATTTTAGACTGATTCAGTGATATGTCTATATACTGTATACGAGCGTGGTTTGGACTCACAAATCAGAGAACAAGTTCTAATGGCATTTTTGGAACTGACATTGTGTGACATTTGGTTTGGTTTATGTTCAGAAATTAATAAAAATAATTCAGTTTTGTTTTTCCTGAATGCTCAGAAACATATGGTTTGTAATCACATAACACTATAAAGACTTGGTGGCTCGGTAGTTAGAAGGTCTTGGGTTCGATTTATATGTGTGTGGAGTTTGCACGTTTCCTTCAGGGTTCCACTAATAACATTTAGGCAGGTCCAGCATGGGCCTGATGTTTGGGGCACATCACTCCTGTCTCTGTGGAGTCAAAGCTGTAAACTCTTAGCGTCTGTCTGTGAAGGTGCTTTATAAATAACTACAGATATAACATAACTAAAATATAATATAGTTACTACTACGTGTGTTATTACTACTGCTATTGACTCACTTTATTCTCCCTTTTGAGTAAAAATCCATAATATTCTGCACAGATAAGTTTGTCCCAGTCACACAGGGATTGGTCAAAACAAAACAAATGGATGAACAACATTCTTTTGATTTCTCACAGATATTTTGGAGCAGAAACGACACTTTTTCCCACTCTCTACTTTCCACTTCTGGGTGAAAGCGTTCGGAGCCACATTTTATTCTGAACAATAGCGGCTAAAGTGTGTTTAATGGGAGCGAGTGGAACAGCTCTCACACATTGTAAAGCAGCACTAACTGAAGGATCCGGGATTAATGTTGTGTAAAGGACCGTCCCCAAAGCCCCATGGAGCTTTATGAGCCCTGACTGTCTCACAGCAGCAGGTCTGTGCCGGGCCCTTAGCTCACCCTCTCATTCTGTTCATATACTATATACTAAAACTTTGTTCTTAAAGCTGGGGACCTCACTTTCTAACCACAGCCGTGTGTAACTATGTATTACAAACCACAGAACTTCACTCTCAAAACAGTGTAGTTGGATGTTGCATGTCTATGTCATGGATGTCCAGTCATCATTAAAGGGCCCTAATCTGTCATCATTAAAGGGCCCTAATCTGTCATCATTAAAGGGCCCTAATCTGTCATCATTAAAGGGCCCTAATCTGTCATCATAAAAGGGCCCTAATCTATAATCATTAAAGGGCCCTAATCTGTCATCATTAAAGGGCCCTAATCTATAATCATTAAAGGGCCCTAATCTGTCATCATAAAAGGGCCCTAATCCAGAGGTGTCCAAACCGGTCCAGAAAGGGCCACTGTGTCTGAGTCTGGGTCTGGGTCCGGTCTGAGTCCAGTCTGAGTCCAGTCTGAGTCCAGTCTGAGTCCAGTCTGAGTCCAGTCTGAGTCCTGCTGTGTGACCACAGCTGGGTAGAGATGGATGTTTCTGCAGTTTCATGTCACTTTTTTTTATGAATTTGTTTCTTCTCTGTGTAAAAATATTAATCTTTGAATCTGAAGGCAACTCAAGGCAACTCAAAGTGCTGAACAAAACAAGAAAGCATTAAAATCATAAATAATCACAGAACATTAAAAGAAAGATACAAATATAAAATCCCTCAGTTGTAGCACAGCTAAACAGAACTGTTTTTAACCTGGTTTTAAACATTGTCAGAGAGGAGGCCTGTCTCACATCTTCAGGAAGACTGTTCCAGATTTTAGCAGCATGAATCTGAAAAGCAGCCTCCCCATGTTTAGTTCTGACTCTGGACACTAACAGGAGTCCAGTCCCTGTGCTCCTCAGAGTCCCAGCAGGAGTCCAGTCCCTGTGCTCCTCAGAGTCCCAGCAGGAGTCCAGTCCCTGTGCTCCTCAGAGTCCCAGCAGGAGTCCAGTCCCTGTGCTCCTCAGAGTCCCAGCAGGAGTCCAGTCCCTGTGCTCCTCAGAGTCCCAGCAGGAGTCCAGTCCCTGTGCTCCTCAGAGTCCGTGCTGGTTCATATGGGACTAACATGTCACTTAAGCCTAGCGTACATCGACAGAGAAACTGGGGACAACTAGTTGCAAGGCGGCTTTTGGCGACTGAGAGGAGATGGTGGGAGATGATCAGTTGCCGAAATCGGTCGATGTGCGCGCTCTTACAACTGGAGATGATCAGTCGGTCTCCAGTTCCAGTCAGTTGCCCGTGTTCTACTTTTCGGCAACTAGTTGTCCTCAGTTGCCCCGATGTGCGCGCTCCATGCGCCGCTCCAACAACGTGTGTGTATTGCGTGTATTGCGAGCCCGCAACAGTTTGTTGTCAGAAAACACACTGTGGTTGAGGCCAGTTGCTGTCGATGTACGCGCTGTTATTCAAGAGACTGGTCTGCGACTCAGAGTTGCCCGTTTTCGCCAGATTGTCGATGTGTGCGGGGCAGCAACTCAGAGGCGACGGATATAATCAGTTGCCAGTCCGATGTACGCTAGGCTTAATATATTTTGGTGCGAGGCCATGGAGAGACTTGTAACAAGCAGAGCTGTTTTAAAGTCTATTCTCTGAGCCACAGGAAGCCAGTGCAGAGACCTGAGAACTGGACTAATGTGGTCGTACTTCCTGGTTCTAGTCAGGACTAATGTGGTCGTACTTCCTGGTTCTAGTCAGGACTGGAGCTGCTGCATTTTGAATGTACTGCAGCTGTTTTACAGCCTGTTTGGACAGACCTGTGAGCAGGCCATTGCAGTAGTCTAACCTACTGGAGACAAATGCATGGATAAGAATCTCCAAGTCTGCTTTAGACACTATGTTTTTGATCCTGGCAATGTTTTTTAGATGGTAAAAAGCTGCCGATGTTACTGATTTGATGTGGCTATTAAAATTTAAGTCTGAGTCCAGTATTACCCCTAGATTTCTGACCTTGTTTGAAGGTTTTAGGGAGAGAGACTGTAGATGACAGATGACGCTCTCTCTTTGTTTCTGGGGACCAAAGACAATCATTTCAGTTTTGTCTGCGTTTAGCTGAAGGAAGTTGTTTTGCATCCACTCACTGATCTGTTGGATACAGTGAAGGAGTGAGTCCACTGGTCCATGTTCTCCTGCAGTCAGTGAGACATAGATCTGAGTGTCGTCTGCATAGTTATGATAGGAAACTTTGTTTCTGCGTATTAACTGACCTAACGGCAGCATGTAGAGATTGAACAGAAGAGGTCCCAGGATCGACCCCTGTGGGACTCCACAGGTCAGGGCCATATGATCTGAGACGCAGTCTCCAATCTCCACAAAGTACTTCCTGTCTTCAAGGTAAGACCTAAACCAACTTAGGGCGGTGCCAGCGACTCCAACCCAGTCCTCTAGTCTCTGTAAGAGGATCTCATGGTCGACGGTGTCAAAGGCAGCACTCAGAACTAGATCAAAGGATCGTTACAGTAATAAACTTTAGGAAACTGGACTCATTTATGAAACTTTGTCTTTTAGCAACTTCAAATGAACAGAGGAGGGATTTGAACCCATGAAAAACATCATAAATTCAAATGTTTGGCCTTTTGTCTCACATTTGTACCTTTAGTGTGAATAAGCCCTTTTCATTTGGAAATGGGAGCAGCTGATTGGTCCTTTGATGTCTGTCATGTGTAGATGAATAAGATAAAAATGTCTGCAGCATCTGGACGTTCATGAACACAAAATGGCCGACGGTAAACTTTGTCTTCCTTGTTGTTTGGACGTCATCTTTCCCAGTCTCCAACTCCAGGGTCTGATCATAACTAAATCCTTTCCCTTTTCCTTCAGCCACTGTCATTTCATTTTCTTTTCAAATAAAAATGGCTATTTTTGAGGAAAGATTGAGATTAAACTTCAGATTGTATGCTCCATGTCAAATACTGAATAATCAATTAAGTAGGGAATTTTCATTTAAAATCTGAAGCTGGCAGCTGTGCACGACGCCGTCTTAATTATCTCTAAATTGGCTGCTGTTCAGTATGCACAATAAACTGCCAGATTTCCCTATATTATCATGTGCAAGGTCTTATTGAGACGAGCGGCGCAGGCAGCACGCTCCTCCACCGCAGCTCGGTAATCTGCGCCGCAACATTTAATTACTGGCGCTAAACCCAGAATTCTTGGCCTAAAATAAGAAGATTTAATGCGTTCTCCATGCTCTGTCCTATCACAGTGCTGCATACAGTAACTTGTTTGTTCACATCGTTAATGCCAGATCGTTCAGCCCACAGCTTTGGCAAAAAGATGTTGCCATTTCAATGTTAAAGTCTGAAAGCTAACAGCAGAAATGTTGTTTGTACTTAAGCCATCAATAATAATGATACGGCCTTGGAGCGATAGTTTGCCTGTTCAGCTACTCTCTGGAAACTTTATATTCAGTGTTTCATCTTCTTTATGAATCTGTGATGTAGAATAGAAAGTGTTGTAATAATATTCAGTAAATATCTGTGTGTAATGACATGTATGTTACAGATAGTTCATACATGTCATATTCATATTGTCCATTGTCCATTTTCTCTAAACCTCTGAAAGATACCAATATTGATTTTAGCCACAAACTGTTTTCCCAGAGTCCTTTGTGGCAGACTTTGATGGAAGGAGCTCGCTGCTGTATCGGTTCAACCAGAAGTCCATGTCCACGGTGAAGGACGTGATCTCTCTGCGGTTCAAGAGCCAGCAGGCGGAGGGGGTGCTGCTGCACGGAGAGGGCCAGAGAGGGGACTACATCAGCCTGGAGCTGCACCGCGGACGCCTCGACTTCTACCTCAACTTAGGTACGTCTGCTTTACCGCTCCCACTCTGCGACGAGCTGTGGACTCACGTCTTCTCCAGGTTTCTGTTTTCAAACACAGTTCTGCACCGAGCAAATAGAAAGTCTCACGTGTAATCTCTATGTTCAAGAGTCAGTTCAAGAATCACTGATAATGATAATGGTTAAATGAAAGACAATGTTTTCAATTATTCACGGCAGAAAACTGTAAACCATACCTGTTTTTTTTTTTTTTGTAAATGAAAAAATGTAACCAAAAAAACTGATCAATCAGGTTTATCGCCCAAATTCAGCTTAAGTTAGTGAGCTGCATGAACAAAAACAATGTTAGCTCTGTGGTTCAGCTCCATAGCGGCTTTAGCTAGCTTTTATCTTCTTCCTCTACAACACAGGAAATGCTACAGCTGATGTCTGATAATTATCTTAACAATTAAGATTCTCGACCAAACAGGAAAGGTGACTTAGCCTTAGTTGTGAAAATGATAGTTTATATGTCCAAATTCTGCCATTCGTGGACGGATGTGTTTTTCTGCCCCTGGACACACATTTTTTAGTCTATTTAATGATTCACACTGACGTAAACAAGTCAAACAGGTGGGACGTGAAGGGAAGAACAAACTCTAAAGTTACATGTGACAGACAGATGACAGCAATGGACTTTCTTCCACTTCTGCAAAGACATATGCACTGGTTCCACATGTGACATCACCTGCCATGGACTGTCATCTGTGTGGACAGCTGCTGCTATAGCTCCTCAGGCTGAGTCCAGACCCTGCTTTTCCTCTGTCATTTAAGTGTCAGAGTGTGTTGTGCCTGTGTCTGTGCAGATGACAGCAGCAGCAGCAGCAGCAGCAGCAGCAGCAGCAGCAGCAGAGGCAGCAGCAGCAGCAGCAGCAGGCGTGTGGCCGTCACAGTTGGAAGCCTCTTGGACGACCAGCACTGGCACAATGTCGTGATCGAGCGCTTCAACAAACAGGTCAACCTCAGCGTGGACTCGCACATGCACCACTTCTCCACCAGGGGCGCCGGTCAGTCTCTGGAGGTGGACTATGAGGTGAGACATGAAGGAGTAATGCAGTGTTTTTCAACCACTGGGCCGTGGCCATGGATCTATAATAATAACTGGATAGTGTTACTATCTTACAGCTGTTCCACCCATGGCCACAGGGGGCGCTGTGCTACTGCAGACTAAATTCACGTGGGCTACCCAGAAAAAAGTCCCATAGAACTCAATGTAAACTAAAACAGCTCGACCTCAGCTGACAGAGAACCTGACGGAGAACCTGACAGAGAACCTACAGTTTTCATAAAGATCAGATTTTGTGGGGATGTTAGTGTCCCTTGTCGTCCTGAACTTTTTTTCTTCTTGAATCCTTCGGTTTTCTTTAAATCCACACTTTACTGCCACAAACTCTGCTCCTTTCCTTCCCGCTCTGACTCCGCTTTGCTGCTGCTCTGATCAGCTCTGATTGGTCAGAATGCTGTCCTCTGATTGGTCAGAGTGCGGCCGAGCCCCTCTGTGCACATGCATGAGACCCACACATGTGTATTTAGCACAAAGCATCATGGGAGTTCATTCACCGCACAGAACCGGGAGGACCAGAGTTCCTCTGATATGTCGGTGCCCGTTAAGTCCCATGCGCTGCTGAGCACAAACCATTCATTTGAATACGGCGCCATCTTGGATCGCCGGGGCTTGGTATCAATGTTGGTGCGCCTTGATTTATTCCAATATCAGCCGCTTGGTCAAAAGCTGAAAATGTGAAAATAAAATAATGTGAGATGATTAGAAAGATGTTTTTGATTTTCTAAATAACACACATTGATGAGACTTTGTTAATGAAGTCTGTAGAACTGCTGGTGGTGTGTCATGTGATATTCTGTGATGACAGAGGTGTGCCACGGATCAAAAAGGTTGGGGACCACTGGAGTCATGCTAGTTATGGTTGTGTTGTTCAATATAGTGGCTTAAAGTAGCAGTATGTAATATTTGCATGTCAAGTCATCATTAAATGGCCCCATATTTCAGAAGGTGTTATTAAATCATGCTCTTTTCAAACACATCTGTAACTGATAACAGTAGTTCAGCTGAGATATTTCAATATCAAAATTAGTTTTACGACCCGTAAAAGTTGTTATTGTTTTGATTTTGATGTTCTACCCTCCGCCGTTTCGCCAAACAGGAAGTGTCATGTAAGTCCGTGATCGAGTTGCCAGAACTCCGTGCGGCTCATTAATCTCACTGGTAAAATACCATGTGGCGCAGAACTAAAAAAGGTTTTGTTATGACTCTCAAATAATTAATGACAAAACTAAAACTAAAACGAAGATTTATATTGGGACGCCTTTGAACAATTGAGACAGCTGATAAAAGTTTACGTGTGATGCAGAATTTTCTGATTTATCTCCGTTCTTCAGAGCTGCCTCTAACGCGTTAATCGATGGTCTAGTGGTCTAATCTAAGCGCTCACGATGCAGAAACCCGGGTTTGATTCTGGGCAGTGCCTTTTTGTATTTATTGCATGTTATCACATTCTATGACAGATTGCTCTAAAAACGGTAAAAGACAAAGGTCAAGAAGTTTTTTTGCAGATTAAAGCTTAATTGTAGAAAGAATCATTTGAGGCCACATGTACCCAATTAAAATGTTTGTCTCTGTTTGATGTGGGACTTGTCTTAAAAATAGGGAATAAATAAAAGGGGTATATCCTCTGGAGCAAACCCTGAGGTTGATACGCTGAAGAAACACGTTCCAACATCCATTCTTCCCACTCCTATTTTGGAAATCAATTGCTTATTTATTTTGGATAATCTATAATTACATTGCTTTTATTTTGTTTTGTGTTTTTTTTTATCTCAAATGTCCAAATATTTGTATTTTTTTAACATTCATTCAACATTAGCACGGCTCATGGCAATGTGAATGGAGACGGACAAACAACTGATAAAATAATTCCCTGTGTTTGCTGCTGGATTTGGTGTGAATCTGGCAACCTGAGTCAGGGAGAGTGGGAGAGGACTACACAATACTGACTGTGACTGCAGTACCACCATTGGCCAGATTTTTACATATTGTTCCTTTAATGTTGGTTGTAGATGTAGTAATATGCAGTTAAAGGAGCTATGCCCGTTTCTGCAGGTTTTTTCAGTTTGAATGTTTAGCCCCGCCCCCAACTCGCTCACAGGCTTCTCATTTCCCTACACTCTCGTGGCCTAGAGGAGGCGTGGCCTAGAGGAGGCGTGGCCTGTTCGTAAAAGTGCTGCTCCTCGTTCCGTGAGTAGAGATGAACAAGCGTCACACTAAGTTTCTTCTCAGCACTTTTTACGGACTGACTTCATCCACAGCTGAATCAATGAGCTCAAGTTTTACATTAAATTACAGATTATAATACAACTTGTGTGTAGTAATAAGCATTTTTCTGAACTCATTAGAAAATAAATCAGGTATAGTTCCTTTAAGGCAGTAGCAGTGTGTGTTTGTAGCTTTCATGATGGTTTGCATGTGTGTGTTAAAAGGACTAAGGCTATAGTTTAAGAAAGGTCACAGCATTTTAAAGTTCTAACGCTTTGTCAAGAATAGAAACAGCACTGATAATATTTGTTTTTGTTGTTGACTAGTTTTGTAAAAAAGGAAAAGCTGTTTCTTTTGTTATAAAAATCAATACACTGTTTTTAACCAAGATTCTGCTTTAATTAAATCAGTCTCAGAGGAAAGTGAATTTACCAACTTGGATTATTCTTTTCACGATGGTGCCATATATTATATGTATATATATATATATATATATATATATATAATATATATATATATATATATATATATATATATATATATATATTAAAAGACATTTCTGGTGAGAAGTTCTTGAATGTTGTTGTTTGGTGGATCTACTGTGGGAAACACACACATGACATAACGCCACACACACTTAAACTCTGTAAAGTAACTGCAGCGTTTTCTTTCTGTGTGAGACTTCTCCGACACATTACTGCTGATTCTTTCCCTGCACTGTTCATCAAAGTGAAGTTACGTAACCTCGGGTCTGACCTACAAAACCTGCTTAAAGATGTGCATGTAGCAATTAATGTTACAGTTCATGGGAAGAGAACCTTTTACCGTAGAACAAAGGGGAGCCTGAACCTTGAAGTTATTTTTGAAGTCTCCGAGGAGCAGCCGCCTGAATGAACACAGCCACCCTGCAAAAGAGCCGCACTCACAACACTGGCCTCAGCAGGGCATTGAACCTCCAACCTCCTGCTCCAGCAGAGAACAGGATCAGACGCTGTTCCATCAGGCTGAAAAAGTCCATTCACTTCTGCAATTCAACACACAAAGTAAACTAATAATGTATAATGCTGATAATTGGCTCACAAACCTCCCAAACATCTAAAACTTTATATGAATGAATATATTAGGTTCACATTTTAAGTGTAATTCACCGATACCACTTTTTCAAAACCAATACGAGTACTACATTGTGTTATCTCTGGGAATTCATAAAACTAATACAACTGGAATTAAATGTTTTATTTCTCAAAAATAAGAAAATGTTTTAACCAGTGTGGGCGGGTCCGGGCTCAAAAGTGTCCAAAATGACGTGCGCTGACATGCTGCAGTACCACCCCGGGCCTGTGGGGGTGCACCCGGAATAAGAATTAGCCAATGCTAACATATAGCATTAGCAGACCTCTGGAAAACGTCTTTACAGGATGGACCATGTCTCTTGGCCCAAAGCTCCGTTCCACATGTGTGTCAATGCTGAGTGTTCTGGACCAGTCTAGTTTAGTCGCTGTGGACTTTAGAAGTCTCTCGTTTAAATGAATGGAGACCTCTCACGCTGACGCATGCGCAGATGTGTTTGTTCACATTTTCCAGTCCTCGCGGCCATTTTGAATCACTCCATGAGAGCCCAATGTTTGGCCCATTAGTTAGAACAGCGGAGAGATAGGCCTGACTACGTCTGTTTATATTTACTGTAACGAGGGCTGTCAAAATTATCACGTTGATGCACGTTAATAAAAAAAATCATTAATCGTATTTTAAAAATTAACGCATTTGACGCATTTACAGTTGTGTATTGATGTGTGTGTTTGTGTGTTGATGTGTTTGTTTGTGTATTGATGTGTGTGTTTGTGTATTGATGTGTGTGTTTGTGTGTTGGCAGCTGAGTTTCGGGGGCATCCCGCTGCCTGGTAAACCCGGGACGTTCCTCCGTAAGAATTTCCAGGGCTGCATGGAAAACCTGTACTACAACGGGATCAACATTATCGACCTGGCAAAGAGACGCAAGCCGCAGATCCACAGTGTGGTGAGTCCCTGGTCACACCAGCAGCTCTCACACCTGGTAACTCCAGCAGCTCTCACACCTGGTAACACCAGCAGCTCACACACCTGGTAACACCAGCAGCTCACACACCTGGTAACACCAGCAGCTCTCACACCTGGTAACACCAGCAGCTCACACACCTGGTAACACCAGCAGCTCTCACACCTGGTAACACCAGCAGCTCACACACCTGGTAACACCAGCAGCTCTCACACCTGGTAACACCAGCAGCTCACACACCTGGTAACACCAGCAGCTCACACACCTGGTAACACCAGCAGCTCTCACACCTGGTAACACCAGCAGCTCTCACACCTGGTAACACCAGCAGCTCTCACACCTGGTAACTCCAGCAGCTCTCACACCTGGTAACACCAGCAGCTCACACACCTGGTAACACCAGCAGCTCACACACCTGGTAACACCAGCAGCTCTCACACCTGGTAACACCAGCAGCTCACACACCTGGTAACACCAGCAGCTCACACACCTGGTAACACCAGCAGCTCTCACACCTGGTAACACCAGCAGCTCTCACACCTGGTAACACCAGCAGCTCTCACACCTGGTAACACCAGCAGCTCACACACCTGGTAACACCAGCAGCTCACACACCTGGTAACACCAGCAGCTCACACAACTGGTAACACCAGCAGCTCACACACCTGGTAACACCAGCAGCTCTCACACCTGGTAACTCCAGCAGCTCACACACCTGGTAACACCAGCAGCTCTCACACCTGGTAACACCAGCAGCTCTCACACCTGGTAACTCCAGCAGCTCTCACACCTGGTAACTCCAGCAGCTCACACACCTGGTAACTCCAGCAGCTCTCACACCTGGTGACACCAGCAGCTCACACACCTGGTAACACCAGCAGCTCTCACACCTGGTAACACCAGCAGCTCTCACACCTGGTAACACCAGCAGCTCTCACACCTGGTAACTCCAGCAGCTCACACACCTGGTAACACCAGCAGCTCTCACACCTGGTAACACCAGCAGCTCTCACACCTGGTAACACCAGCAGCTCTCACACCTGGTAACTCCAGCAGCTCTCACACCTGGTAACACCAGCAGCTCACACACCTGGTAACACCAGCAGCTCACACACCTGGTAACACCAGCAGCTCTCACACCTGGTCACACCAGCAGCTCACACACCTGGTAACACCAGCAGCTCTCACACCTGGTAACACCAGCAGCTCTCACACCTGGTAACACCAGCAGCTCACACACCTGGTAACACCAGCAGCTCACACACCTGGTAACACCAGCAGCTCACACACCTGGTAACTCCAGCAGCTCACACACCTGGTAACACCAGCAGCTCACACACCTGGTAACACCAGCAGCTCTCACACCTGGTAACTCCAGCAGCTCACACACCTGGTAACACCAGCAGCTCTCACACCTGGTAACACCAGCAGCTCTCACACCTGGTAACTCCAGCAGCTCTCACACCTGGTAACTCCAGCAGCTCACACACCTGGTAACTCCAGCAGCTCTCACACCTGGTGACACCAGCAGCTCACACACCTGGTAACACCAGCAGCTCTCACACCTGGTAACACCAGCAGCTCACACACCTGGTAACACCAGCAGCTCTCACACCTGGTAACTCCAGCAGCTCACACACCTGGTAACACCAGCAGCTCTCACACCTGGTAACACCAGCAGCTCTCACACCTGGTAACACCAGCAGCTCACACACCTGGTAACACCAGCAGCTCTCACACCTGGTAACACCAGCAGCTCTCACACCTGGTAACCCAGCAGCCCACAGTCCAGCACTCACACACCTGGTAAACACCAGCAGCTCTCACACCTGGTAACTCCAGCAGCTCACACACCTGGTCACACCAGCAGCTCTCACACCTGGTAACTCCAGCAGCTCACACACCTGGTAACACCAGCAGCTCTCACACCTGGTAACTCCAGCAGCTCACACACCTGGTCACACCAGCAGCTCTCACACCTGGTAACTCCAGCAGCTCACACACCTGGTGACTCCAGCAGCTCACACACCTGGTAACACCAGCAGCTCACACACCTGGTAACACCAGCAGCTCTCACACCTGGTAACACCAGAGGCAGCTCACACACCTGGTAACACCAGCAGCTCACACACCTGGTAACACCAGCAGCTCACACACCTGGTAACTCCAGCAGCTCACACACCTGGTAACTCCAGCAGCTCACACACCTGGTAACACCAGCAGCTCACACACCTGGTCACACCAGCAGCTCTCACACCTGGTAACACCAGCAGCTCACACACCTGGTAACTCCAGCAGCTCACATCATATGATATTTAATCAATCTGAAGTGAATTAAGTCTGCGTTCATTAGATGGGCACATTTGTCACAATATATAGAACATTGTCTGTGGGTGGGTACATAAGGTGTTGTGTTTTTCCAGTGTTCATAAATTTTTCACACGACAGTTTGGTAAGTGATATGCAGTTTGCCCTATAAAAACAACTGAGAATATATTGGAAGGTGGTAGCAATCTCGATGCTGGCTGTCGCGGTGTGCAGTTAATCCGAATATAAGTCTCCGGCCAAGTGTCGGAAGGCGGATCATCCCATCAAGCCGTGTGTTGGTGCTGTTTTACTGCGCAGAGCGCATGCTGTCTGATACCGTGAGGGCTAATAGGGCAATATTGACTCCTGCGGTGGATACTGAATCTCGCGCTCTCCGGCCTCTACCGACCCAAATCAGACAATAGAAGCCAATATCATCCATATAAGCAACTCGCATACCATCTCCGACACCTCTGAGACCAATGAATGCCCAATATTAACACAATATACGCGACTATACGAACCTCTCAGACCATCATTAAGCCCCTCATCCGGAGACTCTCACGACATTATACGCACCAAATCGAACGACATACTACGAACAATAGAACAGAAAATCACCGCGCTCTCAGCCCTATACGCCCTATCTAGAAAATTATAACAGAACTCAATATAACGCGACTCGACCGACACTATCAGAAAATAGAACGCAAAAATCCGACCATCCACAGCACTACTAACGCAAATCATACAGACCGCTGAGCACGCGCAAACTCAAAAGCCAATAGACGACACTATACCGCGAATCTAAGCAAATATTACGAAAAATATAAAGAACATCATCACCGCGGCCTCACCGCACCTCTACGACATCTAAGCCCATATCGGTCACAATCGCAGTCCAATTCTAAGAAACTATTTACGCAACTATAAGCACTATAGCCGCCAATCATACGAGCCTCACCGCCCTTCCAGCTCACACTTATCAGACAATCATCAGGCATATCTCCGCCATCTCAGCCACTATAACGCCGACAACACTAACGCACCATCTACCGCTAATCTACGACCCTCTCTCCGCCCATAGAAGCCCACACTCGCGGACTACACCGCCCCTATCCTCCCTCTATTCCCCTCACGACCATCAAGGCTCACCGACCCACTCCGCACCTCACCTACCCACTAACCGCCCGCCTATAACTCGCCATCTAGCTCCTATAAGAACCTCTACCGCAACTAGCAGCACTCTCCGACAATCGTCCTACACTAGCCGCCCATCCGAGCTAATAAGACCCACACCGACCTTCCGAACACCTCCACACCATATCCAGTCCCATCTACAGAGCCACTACGAGACTCTCCGCAACTATTACCGCACCACTCTCCGCACCACTCTCCGCGCCTACTCATCCCCTCAAGACCCTGCAGCGCTCACAGACCTCTCGCAGCCCCTCTCCGAGAACTCTACTCCCCATCTACCTAACATATACCGATACACTAGAAATCAATACATAAGAAATCATATCCTCGATATCTAGAACATCACCTCAAATCTAAGAGCCAAACGTAAACTACAACGCAACTAGCGCCTAAGAAGACCCACAAAGAACCTCCCACAGACCATCGCCGACACTCTCCGCAACTATCACGCAACACTATACGCAACAACCTACAGAACATCGCAGCCCTATTCCGCCACACTCGACCCCACTCACCGCGCTTCTACGCCCCTTCCGACGCACATACTCACCACAGCAGACACATCTCCGAAACTCGCAGCAGCCTATACAGCTCCACACCTAACTCCGACTCCGCCCACGCCGCCCACATTCTCTCCAACTACCGCACCCTATCCGCACTCATCCTCAGCACATTATAACTAAGAGAACACCTGCCCCATATCTCCCAATTCCTCCTCATCCGCTCACACCTACCCCACTCCTCCCAACACCGCGTCCTTCTACATCTGTGATATCTCCGTCCCCTACACTCCCCACGCGACACTATACACCCAACCTATAAGCTCCCTATCTCAGCACACTCACACCGACCCTCCTCACTGGACCTACCGACCCCTTCCAGCGCAACTATTCCAGAACATAACCGATACAATAACGACACTCATCCGCCCTCAACACCGCCCCCTATCACCCCAGCCCAATCCGACCCCCCCCCCCCCCCCCCCCCCCCCCCCCCCCCCCCCCCCCCCCCCCCCCCCCCCCCCCCCCCCCCCCCCCCCCCCCCCCCCCCCCCCCCCCCCCCCCCCCCCCCCCCCCCCCCCCCCCCCCCCCCCCCCCCCCCCCCCCCCCCCCCCCCCCCCCCCCCCCCCCCCCCCCCCCCCCCCCCCCCCCCCCCCCCCCCCCCCCCCCCCCCCCCCCCCCCCCCCCCCCCCCCCCCCCCCCCCCCCCCCCCCCCCCCCCCCCCCCCCCCCCCCCCCCCCCCCCCCCCCCCCCCCCCCCCCCCCCCCCCCCCCCCCCCCCCCCCCCCCCCCCCCCCCCCCCCCCCCCCCCCCCCCCCCCCCCCCCCCCCCCCCCCCCCCCCCCCCCCCCCCCCCCCCCCCCCCCCCCCCCCCCCCCCCCCCCCCCCCCCCCCCCCCCCCCCCCCCCCCCCCCCCCCCCCCCCCCCCCCCCCCCCCCCCCCCCCCCCCCCCCCCCCCCCCCCCCCCCCCCCCCCCCCCCCCCCCCCCCCCCCCCCCCCCCCCCCCCCCCCCCCCCCCCCCCCCCCCCCCCCCCCCCCCCCCCCCCCCCCCCCCCCCCCCCCCCCCCCCCCCCCCCCCCCCCCCCCCCCCCCCCCCCCCCCCCCCCCCCCCCCCCCCCCCCCCCCCCCCCCCCCCCCCCCCCCCCCCCCCCCCCCCCCCCCCCCCCCCCCCCCCCCCCCCCCCCCCCCCCCCCCCCCCCCCCCCCCCCCCCCCCCCCCCCCCCCCCCCCCCCCCCCCCCCCCCCCCCCCCCCCCCCCCCCCCCCCCCCCCCCCCCCCCCCCCCCCCCCCCCCCCCCCCCCCCCCCCCCCCCCCCCCCCCCCCCCCCCCCCCCCCCCCCCCCCCCCCCCCCCCCCCCCCCCCCCCCCCCCCCCCCCCCCCCCCCCCCCCCCCCCCCCCCCCCCCCCCCCCCCCCCCCCCCCCCCCCCCCCCCCCCCCCCCCCCCCCCCCCCCCCCCCCCCCCCCCCCCCCCCCCCCCCCCCCCCCCCCCCCCCCCCCCCCCCCCCCCCCCCCCCCCCCCCCCCCCCCCCCCCCCCCCCCCCCCCCCCCCCCCCCCCCCCCCCCCCCCCCCCCCCCCCCCCCCCCCCCCCCCCCCCCCCCCCCCCCCCCCCCCCCCCCCCCCCCCCCCCCCCCCCCCCCCCCCCCCCCCCCCCCCCCCCCCCCCCCCCCCCCCCCCCCCCCCCCCCCCCCCCCCCCCCCCCCCCCCCCCCCCCCCCCCCCCCCCCCCCCCCCCCCCCCCCCCCCCCCCCCCCCCCCCCCCCCCCCCCCCCCCCCCCCCCCCCCCCCCCCCCCCCCCCCCCCCCCCCCCCCCCCCCCCCCCCCCCCCCCCCCCCCCCCCCCCCCCCCCCCCCCCCCCCCCCCCCCCCCCCCCCCCCCCCCCCCCCCCCCCCCCCCCCCCCCCCCCCCCCCCCCCCCCCCCCCCCCCCCCCCCCCCCCCCCCCCCCCCCCCCCCCCCCCCCCCCCCCCCCCCCCCCCCCCCCCCCCCCCCCCCCCCCCCCCCCCCCCCCCCCCCCCCCCCCCCCCCCCCCCCCCCCCCCCCCCCCCCCCCCCCCCCCCCCCCCCCCCCCCCCCCCCCCCCCCCCCCCCCCCCCCCCCCCCCCCCCCCCCCCCCCCCCCCCCCCCCCCCCCCCCCCCCCCCCCCCCCCCCCCCCCCCCCCCCCCCCCCCCCCCCCCCCCCCCCCCCCCCCCCCCCCCCCCCCCCCCCCCCCCCCCCCCCCCCCCCCCCCCCCCCCCCCCCCCCCCCCCCCCCCCCCCCCCCCCCCCCCCCCCCCCCCCCCCCCCCCCCCCCCCCCCCCCCCCCCCCCCCCCCCCCCCCCCCCCCCCCCCCCCCCCCCCCCCCCCCCCCCCCCCCCCCCCCCCCCCCCCCCCCCCCCCCCCCCCCCCCCCCCCCCCCCCCCCCCCCCCCCCCCCCCCCCCCCCCCCCCCCCCCCCCCCCCCCCCCCCCCCCCCCCCCCCCCCCCCCCCCCCCCCCCCCCCCCCCCCCCCCCCCCCCCCCCCCCCCCCCCCCCCCCCCCCCCCCCCCCCCCCCCCCCCCCCCCCCCCCCCCCCCCCCCCCCCCCCCCCCCCCCCCCCCCCCCCCCCCCCCCCCCCCCCCCCCCCCCCCCCCCCCCCCCCCCCCCCCCCCCCCCCCCCCCCCCCCCCCCCCCCCCCCCCCCCCCCCCCCCCCCCCCCCCCCCCCCCCCCCCCCCCCCCCCCCCCCCCCCCCCCCCCCCCCCCCCCCCCCCCCCCCCCCCCCCCCCCCCCCCCCCCCCCCCCCCCCCCCCCCCCCCCCCCCCCCCCCCCCCCCCCCCCCCCCCCCCCCCCCCCCCCCCCCCCCCCCCCCCCCCCCCCCCCCCCCCCCCCCCCCCCCCCCCCCCCCCCCCCCCCCCCCCCCCCCCCCCCCCCCCCCCCCCCCCCCCCCCCCCCCCCCCCCCCCCCCCCCCCCCCCCCCCCCCCCCCCCCCCCCCCCCCCCCCCCCCCCCCCCCCCCCCCCCCCCCCCCCCCCCCCCCCCCCCCCCCCCCCCCCCCCCCCCCCCCCCCCCCCCCCCCCCCCCCCCCCCCCCCCCCCCCCCCCCCCCCCCCCCCCCCCCCCCCCCCCCCCCCCCCCCCCCCCCCCCCCCCCCCCCCCCCCCCCCCCCCCCCCCCCCCCCCCCCCCCCCCCCCCCCCCCCCCCCCCCCCCCCCCCCCCCCCCCCCCCCCCCCCCCCCCCCCCCCCCCCCCCCCCCCCCCCCCCCCCCCCCCCCCCCCCCCCCCCCCCCCCCCCCCCCCCCCCCCCCCCCCCCCCCCCCCCCCCCCCCCCCCCCCCCCCCCCCCCCCCCCCCCCCCCCCCCCCCCCCCCCCCCCCCCCCCCCCCCCCCCCCCCCCCCCCCCCCCCCCCCCCCCCCCCCCCCCCCCCCCCCCCCCCCCCCCCCCCCCCCCCCCCCCCCCCCCCCCCCCCCCCCCCCCCCCCCCCCCCCCCCCCCCCCCCCCCCCCCCCCCCCCCCCCCCCCCCCCCCCCCCCCCCCCCCCCCCCCCCCCCCCCCCCCCCCCCCCCCCCCCCCCCCCCCCCCCCCCCCCCCCCCCCCCCCCCCCCCCCCCCCCCCCCCCCCCCCCCCCCCCCCCCCCCCCCCCCCCCCCCCCCCCCCCCCCCCCCCCCCCCCCCCCCCCCCCCCCCCCCCCCCCCCCCCCCCCCCCCCCCCCCCCCCCCCCCCCCCCCCCCCCCCCCCCCCCCCCCCCCCCCCCCCCCCCCCCCCCCCCCCCCCCCCCCCCCCCCCCCCCCCCCCCCCCCCCCCCCCCCCCCCCCCCCCCCCCCCCCCCCCCCCCCCCCCCCCCCCCCCCCCCCCCCCCCCCCCCCCCCCCCCCCCCCCCCCCCCCCCCCCCCCCCCCCCCCCCCCCCCCCCCCCCCCCCCCCCCCCCCCCCCCCCCCCCCCCCCCCCCCCCCCCCCCCCCCCCCCCCCCCCCCCCCCCCCCCCCCCCCCCCCCCCCCCCCCCCCCCCCCCCCCCCCCCCCCCCCCCCCCCCCCCCCCCCCCCCCCCCCCCCCCCCCCCCCCCCCCCCCCCCCCCCCCCCCCCCCCCCCCCCCCCCCCCCCCCCCCCCCCCCCCCCCCCCCCCCCCCCCCCCCCCCCCCCCCCCCCCCCCCCCCCCCCCCCCCCCCCCCCCCCCCCCCCCCCCCCCCCCCCCCCCCCCCCCCCCCCCCCCCCCCCCCCCCCCCCCCCCCCCCCCCCCCCCCCCCCCCCCCCCCCCCCCCCCCCCCCCCCCCCCCCCCCCCCCCCCCCCCCCCCCCCCCCCTCCTCTCCACACCTCCCCACACCTCTCCACACCTCCCCACACCTCTCCACACCTCTCCACTCCTCCCCACTCCTCTCCACACCTCTCCACACCTCCCCACACCTCTCCACACCTCTCCACACCTCTCCACACCTCCCCACACCTCCCCACTCCTCTCCACTCCTCCCCACACCTCTCCACACCTCTCCACTCCTCTCCACACCTCCCCACACCTCTCCACACCTCTCCACACCTCCCCACACCTCCCCACTCCTCTCCACACCTCCCCACACCTCCCCACTTCTCTCCACACCTCTCCACTCCTCCCCACATATTCCAGTCTGATTGCTGTGTTAAAAAGACAGCTGCTGGAGGAGGTGGGGCGACCGTGGCGGCGGCGGCGGCCATGATGGAGGCTGTAATGGAATTTCAATGCTGCTCTTTGCCCGAGGTGGAGGAGAGCGAGTGCGATGGAGAGGCACCGGGGATTGCTCTGAGCTGTCCTCGGCCCGGCACTGATAGGACTGTCCGCCCCCCGCCGCTGGCACATCAGCTGATACCACCTCTGCTCTGTGCTAAATGAAACTGTTATTACCGTTCAGAGCCAAGGCGTTAGTTTAGGACAAATGTAACCACAAAAGAGTCAGTTTAGTCTGAGTGGGTCATTAAGACGTAAGCTTCGAGCGGTTGTCAGGGAAGAGCCAGAATCTACGTCTACAAAGACTGTTTTTAACTGTTGGCTGCTCTTTTTCAGATCAATGTATTCTGTATTTATGGCTCACTCCAAACTGAACTGAACTGAACTGTACCAAAGTGTTTTGTTTTGGTCAATGACATGAAAAAGTCCCAAAATGTCTAATGTTACTGCTGAATGTTCACAGACTCTGGTTTGTTCCTTGTTGGTCCAGTAGAGGGCGCTCTACTTAACTCATTGACTGCCAGCTGTTTTTGACGATTTGACTGATTTTCAAGACCCACAGAATATTGTGTGATTTGACTTTGTGAAAAATGAAACCAGATTCCTCAAAAAGAGGGAAGTTTGACAGATATCACCAGTCTCAGACAAATTTGTCAATGGCAGTCAATGAGTTAAATACATTCAGTCACACCTGTATTATTGACAGTTTTGGACGAAACAAAAGTAGACACGATTGTTACGTCCAAAACGCACAGTTTATCCGCAGTTATTGAATAATATCTTTTTGCATAATGTAAAATCTATAATTACAGATGGATTATAGTTCTATCCCCAAACATTAACCATTAAATACTGTTTATTCTTCTGTTCACAAAACCTCCATCACACGTCCTCAATGTAACTGTCCCCAAAGGTTTGAATCCATTTTTATTGAAATAGTTTTAGCTGCACATCTGAGATTATACATACTGTATATCTATATACATACTGTATATCTATATACATACTGTATATCTATATACATACTGTATATCTATAGGCTACATAGTATTAAAAATGTTTAGGCACAACATGTTTTTAGTTCATACATTTATATCATTGTTGGTTAAGTTAGATCGACCCATGGTTCAGTTTAGTTTGGAGTGAGCCTTATTCTAAACCACAGCATATATATATATATATATATATATATATATATATATATATCATTTTTTTTTTTTTTTGTTGTTGTTGAAAGACTGGTATTGAAGCATTTACAGCTAGTTAAGAAATATAGCTACTAATTTTGTCTGTGCGCTGCAACAGAGGTGTGGACTCGAGTCATGTGACTTGGACTCGAGTCAGACTCGAGTCATGATTTTGATGACTTTAGACTCGACTTGACCAAATATAAAAAGACTTGCAACTCGACTTGGACTTTAACATCAATGACTCTGACTTTCACTTGGACTTGCGCCAATTGACTTGCAAAGACTTGCGTAACCCGGGCCATTTTTTACCTTTCTCCGCATCTCTCTTTCTATCTATGCCGTCTTTGAAGAAACAAAGCCTCGCGGTAGTTGTAGCGCTCGCGCGAGAGTTCGAACGTGAGTTCCAGGCAGTTCGCGCAGCAACACTTCCCTAAACAAGCGCACTGCATTCACCGGTGGGTGTGTTGTCGTAGGGGAGCTGGAAATGAGCGAGCTGCAGGTATTTATCGCGACCTAACGTCATATTTTGTTCTACAAACCGTAATTGATATGCTTTCACTACAGGCGCCTCATACAATTGAATCGACGCAGTTGTCACACTGTGTGCCGTGTTTTAAAGAGGAACTGGTGAGTCAAACTAGCGCTAGCCTGCGCTGCTCTGTTGGCTCTTTCTTATATTTTTCTGTGTGGGCGCCGAGGCCTATTATTATGAGTATGTTTTTGCTGTGCTCCTCCTGCTAAAGTTTGCATACATTAGATAGTTGTTTTGATTATGTGCACTAAGCTAGATTAATATTTGCACTATTGTTTATGGTTCATTGATATGAGAATCAGTGCTTTGACTGATTTAATTAATTTATATGAGACATTTTATTATGTAATGATATATTGGTAATTATGAGATATTACTAATGCTGGCCCAGTTCATACAGGCCAGGGTCCTTCCCCTCCATTGGTCCCTTCAGTCCTTTGGAACAATAACCACTACGGACATTAAACTGATTATATAGATACAGGTCCTAGCCCAATACTCATATTCATATATGCTGCACTTGCTACTTCCCATTAAAAACCCCAAAGATAAAAAGTATGTTGACACGGACTGCTCTGATTTTATGTGTGGTCTGTGCATGTGTAACTGAGCCTGCATCTGGCACAACATAGTTTTGATTTACCAGCAGCCAACCACATGGAACAAACTGTTAGTCCATGGGTCAGAGACCAACGAGAATGCACCAGCAAAATGATTCCTAACATTATTTTGTTTGCCTACAAAAGTACGTGGAGACCAACAAGAAACAAATCGCGGTCAAAAAGACTCGAGAGGACTCGAAAGTCAAACCGTAGGACTTGGGACTGACTTGAGATTTGTTGGCCTTTGACTTGGACTCGACTCGGGACTTGCCTGTCTTGACTCGTGACTTGACTCGGGACTTGAGGGCAATGAATTGAGACTGACTTGTGACTTGCTAAACAATGACTTTGTCCCACCTCTGCGCTGCAACATTGAAATTTCCCCACTGTGGGAAGAATAAAAAGTCTTTATCTTATCTTAGTTATCTCTGAAGACGTTACAAACCCTTTGAATTCTCCAACACAGATCATGGAATCACACACGAAATGAAATGATTAAAAAACACACAGAGCCATTGGTCCATAAGGAGGACATGACTTGGTCTTTTTAATGTGCTTTGATGAAGATTAAACTTCTTTAAACTGACTTTAACAAGCAGAGGACGTCTGAATTCTTGAAGCAAAAACTAAACTCTGGTGTTTTCTCCCGGGACTTTAAAGGGATCTTATTTTGAACGAGGTGAATCGTGATGACGTTTAGTTTAATCTATTTTGAGAAACAAGAGGAGTTGACTTTCCAGGTAAAGGCAAATCAAGAAGAGCAGAAAGTCAGAATAATCAAAGGCACTCGGGGTTTAGAAGGTTAGAGTTAGAGTTAGAGTATTTACACAATTTTCAACTATGTACATTTGTTATTTATGCAGATATGTTATAATAATAATAATTTACAATAATACACAATTAGTGGTGGTTTTATTTAGCGGTCCAAGTGAACACCCCTCTCTTGGAAGATCATGGTTGAACCCAGCTAATCGCTTAGTTGGGATGGGCCCGCCTCCAGCCCAGCACCTCCACCAATCACCTGCCAAGAGAAGAAAAGGGACAAGTTAGGCACAGGGGGAAATAAACTTATTTTGAGATTGCAGCCGTGAGAAAATGAAAGTTTTTCATCTCTTTAAACTATTGACCACGAGTGCCTTGGATTATTTGACTTTCTGAGCTCTTGGAAAGTCAACACTTTCCAAGAGCTTGTACCACGCAGCACTCCTTCCCTTTGTTTTTTTGAGAAATACATGGCTTATTCTATTCTGGTCTTACCACACCATTGTACTCATTTCATTTCATACTAAGGTCTAGATTTGCTCCATTGACTCTGTGAGCAGGTGGGAGGGGCTAACTCTTTTTGCAGATTGAAACCATTGGATCTGAGTTTACTGTGACATATGTAATGAACCCGAGTGAGTCGTTAGCATTTAGCAGTTAGCCTAGCTTTAGCATTTAGACTAGCTTTAGCCATCTCCTTTGCCGCTAACGGAGCCCGTGGGGAGTAGCGCCACAATCTTTGCAGTGATTACATTTGTTAAACATTCCTCTTGCTCCAGCTTCAGTTTCTTGATAGAACCAGACCAGAATACTTTACTTTCACATTCTTCACCAAACTACAACCTGCACGTTCAACACAAACTCTGACGTCACCCACATCTAACTACAACACCCGCCTCCCGCGCTCTCTGATTGGTCGGATGGAATTCAACCGATTGTAATCACAAACACAGGGACCAGACCCAGACGTTACCTGCAGGACATGATGATGGACCTGAGAGAACCGATGGATAAGACCAGGGTTGTCTCATTCTAGTGTCGTGTTCCGTCATGTATTAATCTCACGTCTCTGATCCTTTCAGGGTAATGTGTCGTTCCAGTGCTCCGGCCCCCCGCTGGGCTCCTGCACCTTCCTGAGCTCCACCAGCAGCTTCCTGTCGCTCCCTTCTCTTGCGTCTTCATCTGCTCTTGGGGTCTTTTCGGTTCGATTCCACTTCAGGACGTGGAACGCAGACGGGATGCTTCTGTCCGCGCCGCTCAGACCGGACCCCCACAGACCGGACCCCCACAGACTGGACCCCCAAAGACCGGACCCCCACAGACTGGAGCTGCACCTCAGTGACTCCCGGCTGCTCCTGACCCTGCAGACCCCGTCCAGGCACAAGTCCCAAGTCTTTACTGGTCAGAACCCGCCGCGCCTCATTGCCACTTGTAGACTTTAATAATGCATAAAACGCTCACATATTCAGCGCTGCTAATGGTTTACCATCAAATATTTATTGGCTATAAATTGTTTTATTTTATGCATTGTAATTGACATTCCCCGGTTCATTACTCATTATGTGAGAACAGTGACGTTCTGGAGTAAGGTTAGACTGAGTATAAGGTTTGTATCATTGTTTTTACACTAGATTTGTGAGAGATGGGCTTTCATCACACGACGATTCATGAATAATAATCTGTAAAAAACAATGTTTACAAAGCGCTGCACAGTCAGCGGAATAAACGATAAAACATTCATAATACAAAGTCAAAAGGAGACAGAGCAAAACACAATAGAAAAAGACACAACCAAGACAAAGCAGACAGTTTTAAACTTCCCATTTTGTATTTTACTAATAGTTTAAAGCTGTTTGATAAAAGTGGGTTTAAAGAAGTGATTTAAAAGAGGAGACTGATGGAGCCTTATCTCCATCAGGTAAGGGTGGTTCCAAAGCCGAGGAGCCCGGACAGAGAAGGCTCAGTCCCCTTTAGTCTGGAGCCTTGGAGCAGTCACAGAGACCTGCCCGAGGCTCTAAGTCTGCGGGGAAAGGGCTCATTCATAATTATAGCTTGGTGCCAGACCTAAACGAGCTTTAAAAGTAATCAGAAAAATCTTAAAATCTATTCTAAAACGCACAGGAGCCAGTGAAGGGACGCTAACACAGGGGTGATGTGCTCCCTTCTGTTCAGACCAGTGAGAAGTCTGCTGCGTCTGGACCAGTTGGAGGCGGGAGAGGGATTTAGCGTCGAGGATGTACCTTTTGAAGTTTATAGTTAAACACACATGGTCATACACGCTCGCACCATCTTATTTTATTAATCCTAATATTCTAATTAAAGGACAAGACTCAATATAGTTCAAATACAGACTAATACATTTTGAACTTGACATGATGCAATAAAACAAAGTATTATTTTTTGGCAAATTAGGCTTGGATTTGACAAGTTTGGACAGAGGTGAGAGAACCTGATAGAGGCCTGTACGTCCTAACGGCGCCTGACTGAGAACCTGATAGAGGCCTGTACGTCCTAACGGCGCCTGACTGAGAACCTGATAGAGGCCTGTACGTCCTAACGGCGCCTGACTGAGAACCTGATAGAGGCCTGTACGTCCTAACGGCGCCTGACTGAGAACCTGATAGAGGCCTGTACGTCCTAACGGCGCCTGACTGAGGACCTGATAGAGGCCCGTGCGTCCTAACGGCGCCTGACTGAGAACCTGATAGAGGCATGTACGTCCTAACGGCGCCTGACTGAGGACCTGATAGAGGCCTGTGCGTCCTAACGGCGCCTGACTGAGAACCTGATAGAGGTCTCCGGAGGCTGTAAAGAATGCCTTTGGCGCTAACATCCTCTGGGATAAAAGCGCTCGTTGTCAGCGACAGGCGTCAGCTCCGTCTGAGCAAGAATCTCACGTTCTCCAGAGATTTGGGGTTTTCTGTTGAAGGTGAATAATGTCCAGCCTCATTAAGATGCTAATTTAGTCCGTGCAAAACTGTGGCTCAGGTTTTATCAGGCCGTCGTCCTCTTGAAGACTGCGAGGTTAGTTGTCAGCACTGATTAAAAAGAAATGCCTTTTGGATCAGAAGAATCGAACCTCATTGTTCTGGGGTTTCTTCAGCTTTAGAAAGAGACTCTACTGCTCCTCAGTGGATTCATTTAGAATGGTTCAAGTTTGACTCTCAGTTTTCACAGTAAATGCAAACATCGGTCTGTGTCTGCCATTATGCGTCATTATAACTCCATTTGTTGGTGAGTAAAAAGCGGCCGGTCACAGGTTAAGTGCAGGACGTGCCTCATCTCAAATGGAAACGAGACGATTCATCATCGTGTGACACAGAAAAGATTCATTATGTCTGTTCCAGGGCTCTTATTTAAACTTACTGAAAGTACACTGTTTATCATGTACAACAAGTTTTATAATGACATTTACAAATGAATCAAGCAGTTTAGGTGCTGCTCCTGTGGACTCGGCTCCTGTGGACTCGGCTCCTGTGGACTCGGCTCCTGTGGACTCGGCTCCTGTGGACTCGGCTCCTGTGGACTCGGCTTCTGTGGACTCGGCTCCTGTGGACTCGGCTCCTGTGGACTCGGCTCCTGTGGACTCGGCTCCTGTGGACTCGGCTCCTGTGGACTCGGCTCCTGTGGACTCGGCTCCTGTGGACTCGGCTCCTGTGGACTCGGCTCCTGTGGACTCGGCTCCTGTGGACTCGGCTCCTGTGGACTCGGCTCCTGTGGACTCGGCCCTGTGGACTCGGCCCCTGTGGACTCGGCCCCTGTGGACTCGGCCCCTGTGGACTCGGCCCCTGTGGACTCGGCCCCTGTGGACTCGGCCCCTGTGGACTCGGCCCCTGTGGACTCGGCCCCTGTGGACTCGGCTCCTGTGGACTCGGCTCCTGTGGACTCGGCTCCTGTGGACTCGGCTCCTGTGGACTCGGCTCCTGTGGACTCGGCTCCTGTGGACTCGGCTCCTGTGGACTCGGCTCCTGTGGACTCGGCTCCTGTGGACTCGGCTCCTGTGGACTCGGCTCCTGTGGACTCGGCTCCTGTGGACTCGGCTCCTGTGGACTCGGCTCCTGTGGACTCGGCTCCTGTGGACTCAGCAGAGAGGCTGGTGCTCTGTGTACTGGGTGCTGCTCTGACTGCCACCCCCGACCCAGAAATGGATTAAGGGGAAGAAAATTGATGGATGGAGTTAAGGTGCTTTGGCAAAAAAACAATAACGAGAAACTATAGAGGAAATGACATTTTAAATGACGTTAGTTTGGAAATGATCAAGAAACATATGATCTTCATTTAGGACGATGCAATATCTTTAACTAAATAACATTAAAAGTCCAATGGATTTGACCATAAAAACAAATCATCTGCATCTAAACATTCTGTTTGTTACTGACAGAAGTCCAACTGTAACAGACTCTAACTGTTCTAACACAATGAGGAAGTATGTTTTTATCATATTTAGTCTATTCCAAAACTGAGACTTTACAAAGAAACATAAATGTGTTAAACTTAAACTAAACTCTGGGACGTGTTATTTTCTGTTGAAGTTCTGTGTTTGTTGTGTTTGTTTCAGGGCGTGGTCTCAGTGACGGACTGTGGCACTCGGTTCTCCTGGACGCACAGAACCTTCACGTCTCTCTGTCCGTGGACAAGGAGCCCTCGTCCACTCTGGAACTATGGGAAAAACTGGACCTCAAAGGACAGTTCTTTTTTGGAGGTTCGTGAAAATGATAAAAAAATTATACAAATCTCCCCAAACCCAACCCACATGTTCTGTGTATACAACCTTGTAAACACATTTTTGTTTCCGTCTGCAGTTTTTATGTGAGAGCTCAAAGTTTATGAAAGAGAGAATATTAATCAACCATTTAAGAAAAAACGGTTTTTAGGTTTCAAAATGTGCCACTTCATCATCGTCATCGTCATTAGAACATTTCTGAAAAAATCTCCAAAAATATTGTACATAAATTAAGTTACTTCTAATGTTCATTCAGTGGAAAGACATGTTTTTCACACTGCCTCAGACAGAGGCTCAAAGACTCAGAGAATACAATATTTAAAGGTTTTTGAAAATCAGAATCAAACACACTGCTTTTTGGAAAATGAAAATAAATGATTAATCAGGAAGAGACTTGTGATCATCGAGTCTGGTTTATCCTTGATTATAATTAATCCCAAATACTTAACTGAATTATCCAGTTTTCCTCCTGCTCAGAGGAAGTGTAAATAAACCCTGCACATAAACTCTGTGGCTCCAAACTTTGGGATAAAACTATTTTATTATAATCTAACACTTCCACCACAAACATAAGTGTTTGTGCAGTGACTCTGATGTCGGTTGAACCCGGTCTGTTTTGGAAAATGCCACTAACAGTTCACATTGGAGAGACCCATGAGGAAAATGCCGTTAGACTTAGATTTAAGCATGGTTATTGATTGAGCATGTTTGGCGCCCTAGGCCCGGGAGAGATGCTGTTGAGCACGGCGCTTGCTCGCGTGCATAATCCCCCCCGGGGCCTAGGCACTGGTGGCGGCAGAGGCAGTAGGCAAGCACGCTTTGGTGAGAAAAGGAGGAGGTGGGGCGGCGGAGGCTTGCAGACTTCAGAAGGCCGGGAAAGGGGGAGTCTCCGGCTTTTAACTTGCTGTCCTGGTGGTTATTGGTTGGCTGGATGTGGGCGTTGCTGGTCTGATGAGCCGAGGAAGAGCAGCCTGTAGATCTGGGCAAGCAGCAGCCGGGTCTACCACAGTGAACTTTCGCGAAAGCTCCATTTCACATTGGAGAGACCCATGAGGAAAATGCCGTTAGACTTAGATTTAAGCATGTTTATTGATTGAGCATGTTTGGCGCCCTAGGCCCGGGAGGGATGCTGTTGAGCACGGCGCTTGCTCGCGTGCATAATCCCCAAAAAGCGGGCCTGCGATTGGGATAGCAGGACGTACTGCGCGGGCCTGAGAGCATGAGACGCTGCAGCAGAGGAGTCTTTGAGCGAGCTGTGAATATGAGATGCACGCTCATATTCAGCCAGAAGCTGAAGCAGAGGAATCTTTGAGCGAGCTGTGAATATGAGAAGCACGCTCATATTCGCCAGACGCTGAAGCAGAGGAATCTTTGAGCGAGCTGAGAACATGCGCGCACGCGCATGTTCAGCCAGACGCTGCAGCAGAGGAATCTTTGAGCGAGCTGAGAATATGAGCGCACGCTCATATTCAGCCAGAAGCTGAAGCAGAGGAATCTTTGAGCGAGCTGAGAACATGCGCGCACGCAGCAGGGGAGTCTTTGAGCGTTTGAGGAAAGTGCGTGCCGCCACCAGAATCTTATTGCTTACTTGCTTTGCTGGGAGCTTACGAAGAAGCCGGTAGACGTTGTGCTGCCATGATAGCGGTCGCATCTGGCCTGATGTAGGTGGAGAAGCCGAAGAGGACCAGCGCCCCAGCTGTTGCAGAGAAGAGTGGGGAAGCCCCAGCGAGGCCGCGTGCGTGGCAGCGCCTATCCTGAAGGAGTGGGCTGTATAGAGCTGGGGAGACAAATTGCAGACTTCAGAAGGAGCAGTAGGGATCTTAGTCGAGCTCTGAACCAGGTTGCTGTCATGGGAAGAGTGTCTGGAGTGAGAAAGAGGTCCGTTAAGATTTCCTTTTTGCAGCGGAGGCGAGTGTAACGCATCATGGACCTGTAGGGGCAGAGAGATGTGTCCGAGCGAGCTGTTACTATATTGCAGGCTCCTTGATTTTTGAATGTTTGAGACGGAGGTTGAAAGGGTCAGGGGACATTATGTTGGGTGAAAAGAGCGACCTTTGTGTAATGCTTCCACTACGTCGAGATTATCCCACGTGACAGAGATCCTCTCTCTGCCACGCGTGATTCCACAGCGCGCAGGCCACGACCACTGGGAATATCACGTGTAGGGCAGAGGAGATGCTCCGGTGGAAAGTAGCGGCCACGCTCGGCAACCAATGGTCCTGGAAGAATCCCCCAAAAACCCACGGAAGGGGCAGCGTCCGTGTAGAGGCGGAGACCTGTAGGGGCAGAGACATGTCGGAGAGGGCCATTGATGTTGCAGGCGCCCTTACGCTTGAAACCTTGGGTTGGAGAGTAGATAATCAGGATAGTGGATGGTCGGGAAAGCCGTGTCTCGGACCGCATGAAGGTTGAGTGAGCAATGGTGAAACGCTTACGCAGAGAAGCCATAGAAGGAGAGCAGGAAGATGCTGCGAGGAGGGCAGACATGTACTTGGGAGATGAGCCGGAGTTCAGCGCCGCTGCAGGATGGACAGCATGATGGGGAGCCTGCGATCAGAAGAGTGAAGAATACAGGTATGGATGCCTTTGATTAGGAGTCCGATTGACGGCTCAGCGCAGCTACTCGGCCGGCTGCATCTGATAGAATCAGAAGATTAAGTAGAGAGATGAAGCATGACCGCCGAAGCGACCCTGGGAGCATAGGTGCGAGTCCAGCGCAGCGCGGCATACTCAGCCGGGCTGCGTCCATTAGAAGCAGTATAAGCTTCTGAGAGAGTGGGTTGCAGCAGTAGCAGCAGCGGCAGCAGCAGTAACCTCAGAAAATAACGGCAATAGTCCTGTATCAAGCCGCGACAGTAGCAGCAGCAGCAGCAGCGTCCTTAGAGAATAACAGTAATATCCTGTATCAAGCCACAGCTGTAGAATGTTGTAGTAGCTGCTCAGTGTTTCAGTAAAAGAGATGCAAGTGAAGAGAGATGGCAAGGTAAGTGAAGCAGCAGCAGCAGTAGTAGCAGCAGTATGCAGCAGCAGTAGCAGTAGCAGTATGAAGCAGCAGCAGCAGTAGCAGCAGCAGCAGCAGCTGCAGCATCCGTAGAAAATAACAGCAATAATCCAGTATCAAAGCCAGAGCAGTAGAATAAGTTGTAGCTGTTTAGTGTTTCAGAAAAAGAGATGCGAAGTGAAGAGAGATGTCAAAGTACATGAAGCAGCAGCAGCACGGCAGCAGATGCAGTATGAAGCAGCAACAGTAGCAGCAGTAGCGGTAGCAGTATGAAGCAGCAGAAGCAGCATTAGCAGGAGCAGCCGCACCACAATGCGATTCATGCGTGCCCCGCTTGTCTCCGTGAGCCAGGTTACATACGTGACTGAAAGAGCCGAGCCGTAGAGACAGGTGCAGCCTAGGAGCCAGCGGAGCGGCAGTGGCAGGAACAGCAGCAGCGGCACATGCAGTAGTAGGAGCAGCAGGAGCGGCAGCAGGGACAGACAGCAGCAGGAGCGGCAGTGGGAACAGGCAGCAGCGGGATCAGGCATCAGTAGGAACGGCAGCAGGCACCGGCAGCAGCGGCGGTCAGAGAACCATGCCCACGGTTGTTGAACAGCCTGAGGAAATAAATCAACCCGAATCCGAACATTCCCATGCGAATAACAGATGTCCCCCGGAGCCGTCTTCTGCTTTGGTTATGGCAGAGACGCATGAACGATCACTTTTCCACGCGTTCATTAGCTCCAACACCAATTCACACCCATTGCAGATTCACATTGGCCCTTTTTCTTTCTGCTGCACTTTCAAGATGCAACAACTGCAGTTTAGTTACCCAATTTAATACTAGTGACCTAGCTATTTAATGCATGGCCCCTCTTTCCTCCCGCAGATAGACGGATTTAAATACATTCATTTAACAATAGTGACCTGCGAGTAATGAGATTAATGCCGTAAAGATGGCGCCGTGCAAGAGCTCTGGTGTGTGCCGTCTGGATCACGATGGGTAGTCTTTGCACATATATCCAACGTGGTTTTACTGCAAGTGGCAGAACATGAATCTGAATTGATGCACACTGCTCCTCTTATATCCCTCAGACATTGGAGATTTGATGCCATTTAAGATGCATTGCCCCTCAGTTAGCTCAAACACGTGTGAAAACGGAGCCTGCAGACCAAGCACGGGGCGAAAACTGACGCCTGCAGTCAAGTGCGTAGGGCAAAAACCAGCCGCTTGCAGCCCAGACTCGGGGATTAATCCGTCCGCGGTCGGCACACTCACTGTACTCACATGCCAGGAGACGTGGGAAAAGCAACGGGACAACGCGGCACCGCCAGTCGGAGGCAGGGACACGCACAGCACCGCCAGACCGTCTGCGCGCGGCAGCAGACCACGAGGAACGAGCAGCACAGAACCTGCAGAGGGCCCCGCGGAGCAGCCCGCAGAAGAGCCCACAGAGGAGGAGAGCAGTGGAGACACGCGAACCACAGCAGGTGCAGGGACGCGGAGGAGGAGCAGACCACGAGCAGCCAGACTGAGGACAGCCGGGCCACGCGCACGAGCAACACGTGAGCAGAAGCGACCCCTCCAGAACCACGCATGCATTTGCGAACAGGTGCGTTAGCGACATGCACCTTGCAGACTTCAGAAGGCCGGGAAAGGGGGAGTCTCCGGCTTTTAACTTGCTGTCCTGGTGGTTATTGGTTGGCTGGATGTGGGCGTTGCTGGTCTGATGAGCCGAGGAAGAGCAGCCTGTAGATCTGGGCAAGCAGCAGCCGGGTCTACCACAGTGAACTTTCGCGAAAGCTCCATTTCACATTGGAGAGACCCATGAGGAAAATGCCGTTAGACTCATTAGATTTAAGCATGTTTATTGATTGAGCATGTTTGGCGCCCTAGGCCCGGGAGAGATGCTGTTGAGCACGGCGCTTGCTCGCGTGCATAATCCCCCCCGGGGCCTAGGCACTGGTGGCGGCAGAGGCAGTAGGCAAGCACGCTTTGGTGAGAAAAGGAGGAGGTGGGGCGGCGGAGGCTTGCAGACTTCAGAAGGCCGGGAAAGGGGGAGTCTCCGGCTTTTAACTTGCTGTCCTGGTGGTTATTGGTTGGCTGGATGTGGGCGTTGCTGGTCTGATGAGCCGAGGAAGAGCAGCCTGTAGATCTGGGCAAGCAGCAGCCGGGTCTACCACAGTGAACTTTTGCGAAAGCTCCATAATCCAACCGCTCTGGATTGAAGACGCCATAACTCTCAGAAAAACAATTAAATTCTTATTTTTGGAGACATTTTTTGTTGAGAGTGAGACTTCTGACATCTTTATATTTACCTCTGAGCCAAAGAAACAAGTATTGGTGCGTTTAATGAGGCATCCTTTATAAATAATTAATATTCATTATGTTAATCTGTGATATATGAAGTGCCCTTGCAGCGGAGTAGCCAAGTATAATGTGAAGGTACATGTGTGTAAGATCATAACATGTGTGCTGATAATAACATGTGTGTTGTTAATAACATGTGTGTAAGATCATAACGTGTGTGTTGTTAATAACATGTGTGTTGTTAATAACATGTGTGTTGTTAATAACATGTGTGTAAGATCATAACATGTGTGCTGATAATAACATGTGTGTTGTTAATAACATGTGTGTAAGATCATAACGTGTGTGCTGATAATAACATGTGTGTTGTTAATAACATGTGTGTAAGATCATAACGTGTGTGCTGATAATAACATGTGTGTTGTTAATAACATGTGTGTAAGATCATAACGTGTGTGTTGTTAATAACATGTGTGTTGTTAATAACATGTGTGTTGTTAATAACATGTGTGTAAGCTCATAACATGGATGTAAGATAATAACATGTGTGTTGATCATAACATGTGTGACAGATGTGTGTTGATAATAACATGTGTGTTGATAATAACATGTGTGTTGATAATAACGCCTGTGTTGATAATAACACGTGTGTTGATAATAACATGTGTGTGTCTGTCGCACTCAGGCTGCCCCACTCTGGAGTGTCAGCGCACCAGCGCAGCCTTCCAGGGCTGCATGCAGCTCCTCTTCATCAACAGCCAGACAGTGGACCTCAGTCACGTACAGCAAGGGCTGCTGGGAAATTATAATGAGCTTCAGTTTCATACATGCAATATAAGAGACAGGTAAGTTGAGTGAACTTTTATCTGAAAAAGGGTTTCCCACTCAGTCAGACTGTGAGTGTGTCAGAGGCAGCAGCAGCGGTGGTAGCACAGTCCTTTGTGGCCTCATTGTTAATCCTGAGATGACAGTGTGTTGTCGGCACCGGCGCCTAAAAGTCACTGACAACTTGTCCTGGAGAGAAAACACACTGACAGGATCCTCCAATTAAACTGCAACAGGAACTGGATCCATCCTGGCAGAGGACTATGCTAATAAGCTGCTGCGCTGTAGGCTACGCTAACCTCATTAGCCTGCACCGCTTTGGCCCGCAACACACGTGACACACACACCCCAACACACAAGTGACACACACACCAACACACGTGACACACACACCCCAACACACAAGTGACACACACACCAACACACCAGTGACACACACACCCCAACACACAAGTGACACACACACCAACACACCAGTGACACACACACACCCCCAACACACAGGTGACACACACACCCCAACACACAGGTGACACACACACACCCCAACACACAGGTGACACACACACACACCCCAACACACAGGTGACACACACACACACACCAACACAAAGGTGACACACACACCCCAACACACAGGTGACACACACACCCCAACACACAGGTGACACACACACACCCCAACACACAGGTGACACACACACACACCCCAACACACAGGTGACACACACACACACACCAACACAAAGGTGACACACACACCCCAACACACAGGTGACACACACACCCCAACACACAGGTGACACACACACCCCAACACACAGGTGACACACACACCCCAACACACAGGTGACACACACACCTGTCTCAGAGCGTCCCTGTGACAGAACAACACAAGTGTAACCAAAATAAAGACTTTTTTAGATGTGACAACATCAGAAAGAAAAAGTCATAAATATGATTTCTAAATGAAGCGGCAGGATGTGATGAGTCAAGAACCATGTCACCATGGAAACCCAGGTTCTGTTCCACGTTTGAAGTGGTGCTGAAAACAGATAAAATGAAGAAGCATATGGATCAAAGGCTTTGAAGGGCACTTCAGAGACAGAGCCATCAGAGTCCCTCACTCTGGTTCATAGTAATGAAGTTTTAAACAAGTGGTCCACAGACCAGGCTTAGAGGGCAGTACACACTTTAAATATATATTATATATATTATATTATGTCAAGCTTTACCTCCAACCAATGCTACATTAACACATTCATAGAAGATGAAGTTCTAAACCATAGTGGGGTCTCACTGGTGCTTTCTTTGGATTGACCATTGTTCGAATATAGAGTCAATATTAAAAAGCAATTATCATCTTTTCATTAAGTAAAAAATAATTGAACTCTGGGTTAATTGCGTTATGTAAAGTGGATTGAGTTTTCACAGTCCAGCGCCTCCTTCACACTGTCACAACACCATCGCTCTTTGGGCCAGTTTCTAATGTATTCTTTACGCTCCATGAGGCCCCTTTAATGCCCCTTTAATAACACTGACCAACATATGAGCCTTTATCTACGAGCACACAGAGAATAACATACATACTATCATAACATACTCTCATAACATACTATCATAACATACTCTCATACTGTCTTGTTTATCACAGAGGATTGTGTTCTGAGCCATAAGTTCGACACATGTAGAAAAGCTGCGATGGAGATTAAACTGATGGCCGTAACCGTATCCGTGGTTTGCGGCTCAGTGCAGTTAAAAGGTGAGAGCCCAAAGTGTATGAAATTAAAGATGCACGCTCTAAAGGCGGCGATTCTGTGAAACAGGAGCAGGATCGAGGAAGACACTATTAATCAGCCGAGTGTGGACTTACTGTCAGAGGATTACTGTGGAGAATATCCCACAAACAGCTGAAGGTGACAGCCAGGGCTATCTTTAGAGGGACAGAGACCGATATGTCAGCGATTTCAAATAGTCACAAGGGCAGGCTGTTTAAAGAGCCATTTTCTCTGCTTTTGGAGCCGCCAACTCAAAAACAATAACACAATAAAGCCACAATGACTTTTTTACGGCGGAGGCTCAGTTTACATCACACACAGGAGAAGAGCGGAGCTGTGGGGATGAATAAGCCATCTGAGGAAAAGGCCGAACACAAATTTAAAACATTTCACAATGCCTTATATCAACAAATACTGTATATTTCTGTCTTTGGCCAGACACATAGATCTGTTTATGATGTATTTACCAGATTAAAATGCACAAGAATAGATTAACAACCTCAGAGCAGACACAATGTAGGAGCACCATAGCTTTTATAAATACTAAATTAATGTAATTCACTGCTGCTGGCAATTAGACGTTTCTATGGTGTTTACAAATGCAAACTAAAGACGCTGTGGTGCGATAATAGATGGAGGCAAATGTAAATCAGGAAACACTTAGGTCTTCCTCGTCTGAAAACAAGAAAAGTTAAATTGTTTGGCGTCTGCTTGAGGCAAGAAAATACTTGCATTATTCTCAAAGGTGTGTGGTACAGTGTAATATTCAACAACATATTTAAAGTGTGCGATCCCACCACTACCCACGTCACCTGCTCCCACTGATGTCTGCTGTCGTTGTGTCCTTGGGCAAGACACTTAACCCCACTTTGCCTGAAGTCCCTGCTGAAAGATCAAGGCCGTATCTGTGTTGAAGGAGCAGCCATCTTCCTGTGGACCCCCCACTGCAGGAGGGTCAGCGAGGGACTGGTGCTTTGTGAATTGGGTGCAGCTCTGACTGCCACCCCCCTGACCCAGAAATGGATACTGAATGTGAATGAATGTGAATGAAAATGAATGAATATTTAAAGTGGTTTGAGTTGAAGTACTTTTCATCCAAGTCATGGGTTTCCGCACACACAGAACTCATTGCAACACATCACTCCCATGTATACCTCCGCCCTGTAGCCGGGCCTGTGTTCGTATCAGTGCACCGCACTATATACTACGCTACAACATTGTTATGGGAGGTTAAAAAAAAAAAGTCGGTCTTGTTACAGGTTTGGGCCTGAGAATTCTGAAAGCCTGTCGGACTGGGCCGGGCTGGGGCTCCACCCCCTCGGGCCAGGGCCGGGCTCGGACCCAGATATCAGGCCCGTGCAGGGCTCTATCCTGTGTCTCTACATTTCCCTCTCCTCGGTGTCTCTGCAGGTGCCTCCCAAACCTGTGCGAACACGAGGGCCAATGCTCTCAGACCTGGAGCTCCTTCTACTGTGACTGCTCTGGGACTGGATACTCCGGCGCCACCTGCCACAACTGTGAGTACTGCACTTCCCCTCTTTTAGCTAGAATCCTCTCTGCTTTACCCAGAGTCCTCTCTGCTTTAGCGCTGTTTGAATCAGACTCAACTGTCTCGCTCTAAGACACTTTTTCACTCGTTGCAGGAAAACATTGTGTCAGACTTTCTTCCTGACACGGCCTTAACATCATCAGATTCTTGCTTTAAAAAAAACAAATTCTAATCTATTTTTCACCGTGACTTTGCACTGACTTTGTGTGTAGTAGTTTTTTCCTTGCGGGTGTCATTTTTGTGACTTACTGCACCCTCTCCCCTTGATATGCAGGCTGGAGACAGCTGCTGGGTTCGGGTGCCCCAGAATACTGATTTCTTGTTTATAGGCTCCATTTGCAAGTCAAAGCCAGAGCACGAGGGTCTCTTGAATTGAGCACAAGCAATTTACTGAAAAGCTTCTCTGATTAAGATTCACTGTTGCATTTTTGACTTGCAGAACTATTTTTCCTTATTATGGGAAACTGATTTGGCTCTGTATTAATTGCCTGGAAAAAAAAAAGTGAATGAGGAGAATATGGCGGTGATTTTGTTGGTGATTGTTCCAGCAGTAACTCTCAATGATGATATTCCAGAACCTGCAGAGCTGTCACTGCACTTTCAACTTCACTGTGGGCAGATGAAATACTGTTCTGAAGCGTAACGGGTCGTCTTCCTCTTCAGTCTGAGAGGACTGTGAGCTGTTCTGGAGGTTCTTTATAAACCCAGACTCTGGAATAATCAATGACTCTTCTGGCCCCTGGAAAAGCCATGTTCCAGCTTCTTCCCTCTGGCAGAAGATATTGTTTACTGAGATGCAGGACATCTCAATATGCTAATGTTGTATTCATGTACTTGTCTTGTGGGGACTTCTGCAAATATGTTCCAATGTGGTTTTACTGCAAATGGCAAATCAATGAATCTGAAACTTTCAACATTTTCACAAGGATTAACTTAAATTTAGATGTAGCTGTAGCTTGAATTAGCTGAAATGTATCTGAATGTGATGTAGCTACAAGAAATGTACCACCTTAAAATAAGAACATTTCAAAAGCTTTGGCAAGAAAATACAAGAATGTATTTAGGTCATGTTAAAAAACTGAAAGTGTGAATAGAACTTACATTGACAAAAACTCACAATGGGTGCATACAAACAAATCCTTATTTATCCCCACCGCTGTCAGACTGTACAATAAGTCACTTTAAGTCACTAATGATTTCACAGTGACACTTGTTTACTGTTTTATTTTTGTCTTTTAATGTTGTGCTATGTCTGTATTTGTCTGTGCACACTGGAGACTTTTGCTAATGTATTCCAATGTGGTTTTACTGCAAATGGCAAATAAACTGAATCTGAATCTATAATTAACCTTTAACATGTTTCACACTTCTGTCTCAGCAAGAAGGTCCTAGGTTCGAATCCCGGTCGGAACAGGGCCTTTCTGAGTGGAGTTTGCATGTTCTCCCCGTGTCTGCGTAGGTTTCCTGCGGGTGCTCCAGTTTCCCCTACCACTAAACACATGTACAATAGTTCTGTGCCTCCTGGACTGGCCCCGCTCATCTCTGTGTGGAGAGAGACTAATGTAACAGCTGTAAACCGCTTTGACTCTGGTCTGAGAAAGGTTCTATATAAATAAACATTACTTACTTACTTATGAAGGATCACAAAGTTGGAATAATTGTTTTCAAAGACGTACATTTGACTTTTGTATTTCTGTTCCCTCTCAGCCATCTACGAAGCATCATGTGAGGCCTACAAACTGACTGGGAGCTCGTCCGGGTTCTACTCCATAGATCCTGATGGGAGTGGGCCCCTGGTGGCCGCACAGGTGTACTGCAACATGACAGGTGTGACAACCTCACTCTGCTGTAATCAGTGATGGGCAAGCTACTTGATTTGTGTAGTGAGCTAAGCTACAAGCTACTCTACAATAAATTCAGCTTCACTACACAGAAGCTACCACCCATACAAATGTAGCAAGCTAAGTTACAAAATTCTGTCAAAAGTAGCTTGCTATATAGAAGCTATTTTCAATTAAACAAACTGCAGTTCATGCAATTTTATATTTTCCTGCATTAACATGTTTGCTCATTTCTTATTTTTTGCACAATTCTTGAGTGTTTTATCCATGCCAAATGTGACATGTAAATTTCTCCTGTGTGAGATTAATAAAGCTTATCTTCTTATTTGAGATAAACTGTCAGTCAGATAAAGGTTAACATTTTGTAGATATTTATTGAACAATAGCCCAAAACACCAAAAACAACAAAGAGTAGGCATCTGAAAACATATTTCTTTTCGCTCATCTCGACTAGAGTGACGTACTTTTGGAGGTATGGCCACGGTACAACACTTTGAGAGTCCTTATCATGGTCCTCCTCCACCGCGGCGGCTCCTGGGCTCTCTGCCATGCTTTTGCTTCCCCCAGTAGCGCGCATGTGTGTGCGTGTGTGTGTGCGCGTACGTTTGTGTGTGTGTGTTGTTACCAAGCCCTGCGCATGCGCATCAGCATTCTGTCTTTCTATATGTTTGTTTTATGCTGCGGGAAAATGCTGTAATATGTGAACATCAGAGATGTCCGTGAGAAAATAGCTTTGGCGGACGCTACCGCGCTACTTGAGCAATAATATAGCTTAGCTACAGGGACGTGCAGTCAGGGGAGGCAGGGGAGGCAGAGCCTCACCTGCCATTATTGGAAACTAATAATTATTTTAGTTTAAATATATAATTTATATCCACTGTCCTATGCTTTTAATGTATATTCGGCACGGTTCCCATCAGTTTTGATCATTTCTGAAGTCAAAATCGCCGAAATCCCGTTATTCCTATTCAAAGAGACGAGGTGAGGCAGCGCTCCTGCGTGCCTCACCTCAGACCGCTCCCTCACAGTGTGTGTGTGTGTGTCTGAGTGCACTCAGCTCGTGCAGTTGATATATCACCGTTTGTTTCAAATATCCTGCTTTAAAAACATTTTTTAAACTCCTCTTAGTGTTTAGTAGTGTATTGCACGTATGTGTGTACAATTTATATTTAGTTTAAGTCTTTTGATCGTAGATGAACACACAAGGAAAAAGCTTGGCGTGAGGCAGGCGGTATCTGTGCCTCACCGCTAGGGGTGATAGTGAGCATAAAGTTCATACCAGAGTTGCTAACAAACAATCAGCCCAAAATGCTATTTCTTTTGCTGGAAAATGGATGATTTGAATGAAGATTTTTTTTCTCAATTGGACTTTCAAACAAAGAAAGAATTAATATAGACTGGGAGACCACCACTGGACTTACGAGGTTAGTCCGGCTGCGGGGGAGGAGTTTGTTAATCTGTGTTTTATGTTGAACATTGACAGATACCGGCAAAGTAGTGCTTTTCCGAAAAACACTGATTCAAACACTGCTCAAGAGTTCTGCAACTTGTTTACATTATTGTTTATGTTCCTCGCGTCTCTCTCTCCTCGCGTCTCTCTCTCCTCGCGTCTCCGTCTCTCTGCTCCTCGCGTCTCTCTGCTCCTCTCTGTCTCTCTCTGCTCCTCTCTCCTCGCGTCTCTCTCTCCTCGCGTCTCCGTCTCTCTGCTCCTCTCTGTCTCTCTCTGCTCCTCTCTCCTCGCGTCTCTCTCTCCTCGCGTCTCCGTCTCTCTCTCTCCTCGCGTCTCCGTCTCTCTGCTCCTCTCTGTCTCTCTCTGCTCCTCTCTCCTCGCGTCTCCGTCTCTCTCTGCTCCTCGCGTCTCCGTCTCTCTGCTCCTCTCTGTCTCTCTCTGCTCCTCTCTCCTCGCGTCTCTCTCTCCTCGCGTCTCTCGCACCTGCGCTTCTTAAAGATGTTGTTTGATGCGGAGCAGAGTCAGCAGCTAGATTTGTTGTGAGATTATTAAAAGAAGCTGGTTCTCTTATCTTTACAGTATATAAAGTTTGTGGATGTCATTGCATTGGTGATAAAATGCTATTTTATTTGAATAATGATTGTAAATCTGACTTTTAAAGTCAGTGCCTCCCCAATCACAAACCTCACCGCACGTCCCTGCTCAGCTACAGAAAAGTTACTAGGTTTTGTAAATAGTGACGCTACTGTCAAGCTACTGAAAAATGTAGTTAAGCTAGTAGCGACGCTACTTGTAGCGACGCTACTTGTAGCGACACTACTGCCCATCACTGGCTGTAATCACTGCTGCTGTCATCACTGCTGCTGTGATCACTGCTGCTGTCATCACTGCTGCTGTGACCACTGCTGCTGTGACCACTGCTGCTGTAATCACTGCTGCTGTGACCACTGCTGCTGTGACCACTGCTGCTGTGATCACTGCTGCTGTAATCACTGCTGCTGTGACCACTGCTGCTGTGACCACTGCTGCTGTAATCACTGCTGCTGTAATCACTGCTGCTGTGATCACTGCTGCTGTGACCACTGCTGCTGTGACCACTGCTGCTGTGACCACTGCTGCTGTGACCACTGCTGCTGTGATCACTGCTGCTGTGATCACTGCTGCTGTGACCACTGCTGCTGTGACCACTGCTGCTGTAATCACTGCTGCTGTGACCACTGCTGCTGTGACCACTGCTGCTGTGACCACTGCTGCTGTGATCACTGCTGCTGTAATCACTGCTGCTGTGATCACTGCTGCTGTGATCACTGCTGCTGTGATCACTGCTGCTGTAATCACTGCTGCTGTGACCACTGCTGCTGTGATCACTGCTGCTGTAATCACTGCTGCTGTGACCACTGCTGCTGTGATCACTGCTGCTGTAATCACTGCTGCTGTGATCACTGCTGCTGTAATCACTGCTGCTGTGACCACTGCTGCTGTAATCACTGCTGCTGTGACCACTGCTGCTGTAATCACTGCTGCTGTAATCACTGCTGCTGTGATCACTGCTGCTGTGATCACTGCTGCTGTAATCACTGCTGCTGTAATCACTGCTGCTGTAATCACTGCTGCTGTGACCACTGCTGCTGTGACCACTGCTGCTGTGATCACTGCTGCTGTAATCACTGCTGCTGTGATCACTGCTGCTGTGATCACTGCTGCTGTGATCACTGCTGCTGTAATCACTGCTGCTGTGATCACTGCTGCTGTAATCACTGCTGCTGTGATCACTGCTGCTGTAATCACTGCTGCTGTGACCACTGCTGCTGTGACCACTGCTGCTGTGACCACTGCTGCTGTGATCACTGCTGCTGTAATCACTGCTGCTGTGATCACTGCTGCTGTGATCACTGCTGCTGTAATCACTGCTGCTGTAATCACTGCTGCTGTAATCACTGCTGCTGTGACCACTGCTGCTGTGATCACTGCTGCTGTGATCACTGCTGCTGTAATCACTGCTGCTGTGATCACTGCTGCTGTGATCACTGCTGCTGTGATCACTGCTGCTGTGACCACTGCTGCTGTGACCACTGCTGCTGTGATCACTGCTGCTGTAATCACTGCTGCTGTGATCACTGCTGCTGTGATCACTGCTGCTGTAATCACTGCTGCTGTGATCACTGCTGCTGTAATCACTGCTGCTGTGATCACTGCTGGAACATCTCTGATGTGCACCACACTGCACTACACTACAGTAGGGAGAGACCACATGGTATTGGTTCATAGAGAGAGACCACATGGTATTGGACCATAGAGAGAGACCACATGGTATTGGACCATAGAGAGAGACCACATGGTATTGGTTCATAGAGAGAGACCACATGGTATTGGTTCATAGAGAGAGACCACATGGTATTGGACCATAGAGAGAGACCACATGGTATTGGACCATAGAGAGAGACCACATGGTATTGGACCATAGAGAGAGACCACATGGTATTGGACCATAGAGAGAGACCACATGGTATTGGACCATAGAGAGAGACCACATGGTATTGGACCATAAGGAGAGACCACATGGTATTGGACCATAGAGAGAGACCACATGGTATTGGACCATAAGGAGAGACCACATGGTATTGGACCATAAGGAGAGACCACATGGTATTGGACCATAAGGAGAGACCACATGGTATTGGACCATAAGGAGAGACCAATGTCCCCAAATGTTGTAGCAAAACTCAAAACCCCGAGGACATTGGCGGTGTGTGAACCGTTGAAACTGTCCGTACAGTTCTCTATCTTTCACCAAACGTCATTCAGGCCAATCCAATTCCAAAAAGTGCTAAAAAGTTGGTGCGAGGAGAAGTGATGGTGCTATTGAGGTGTAAAAGGAGGATTTACTCCGTGACTTCTCAAGGACAGAGCCACAGTCACATCAAACCACTCTCCTCAAAATGGACGCCTTTTCACCTCCAACCGCCAGACTCTCAGATGGATGCTAGCACTTTGTTGTGTGTCTGCTCCTTAACTGTGGATTTGGGGGATTTTGTAGAAAACTCAGGAGCTGTAGGAATGTCACAACAATTTAACTTTTATCATAATATTTGTATGTGTGGTTTTATTTAATTCAGTATCATCAGGGGTGAATGTTAGAGGCCTGTTAGACTGAAGTGTTCTGTATTCAGCCACAAACAGGTTCTTTACCCACAAATAAAATTGAATTGTTCATAAAGTCTACATTTATAATAATTCCTCTGGGTGTTCTGGAATCGCTGCTGAATGAGGTGATTTCATTGGACCACTGAGCTGCCAGATTAATGCCATTTTTAAAAGTATTAACATCAAACGCAAATTTAAACACACAACAAACAATACAAAATAGAGAGTTATGGACAGATAAAGGGCTGGAAGCAGAGCCTCAAAACACGAACACACACAAATCAGAATTGAACCAAAGTTATATATTTTGAATGAGACATAAGAAAGAAATTAAATGTTGTACTTGTACAAGCCACACTGGATTATAAGCCGCACCTGTCCCACACTGCAATATTGAAAAATGCTTCTAAAAAACGTTTGTGTCGTTTAACTGTGAGAAACAAAAGAAAGAAGTGAGTCTCAGGCTGTTCTTAATCTTCCAGTTTAAAGTAGAAAGATCAGGAGCAACATCCACCGGTTTCTTTTCTCTTTCAGTCTGAGCAAAGAACCAGAAACTATTTATTATACGGAGATATTTACACAAAGATATTATAAATGAGGACTTTTAAACTGTATTTAATCTGATTTATTGACAAATCTTACTTATAAATGGACCTCTGTGAACGACTGTTGTTCTACTGTTACTTGGCAAAACATTTTTGGCAACACTGGAAAAAATAAAACAAAATTTAGCCTCACCTGACTATAAGCCGCATCCTTCAAAATGCAGGAGCAAAGCTGTGGTTTATAGTCTGAAAAATACTGTAATTTACTGCACGACAAGACGCCACTGTCCGACAAGTTTCCAATACTTCATTTTGTGGAGTGAGAGAAAAATGCCCAAAAATAACCGCTTTGTGACTGCTCTGTGAAAGGCGCTCTATAAATAAACTCACTTCCTGTTGTGGTGTTTGTGTGTCCAGAGGAGAGGGTGTGTGCTCACTTCCTGTTGTGGTGTTTGTGTGTCCAGAGGAGAGGGTGTGTACTCACTTCCTGTTGTGGTGTTTGTGTGTCCAGAGGAGAGGGTGTGTGCTCACTTCCTGTTGTGGTGTTTGTGTGTCCAGAGGAGAGGGTGTGTTCTCACTTCCTGTTGTGGTGTTTGTGTGTCCAGAGGAGAGGGTGTGTTCTCACTTCCTGTTGTGGTGTTTGTGTGTCCAGAGGAGAGGGTGTGTTCTCACTTCCTGTTGTGGTGTTTGTGTGTCCAGAGGAGAGGGTGTGTGCTCACTTCCTGTTGTGGTGTTTGTGTGTCCAGAGGAGAGGGTGTGTTCTCACTTCCTGTTGTGGTGTTTGTGTGTCCAGAGGAGAGGGTGTGTGCTCACTTCCTGTTGTGGTGTTTGTGTGTCCAGAGGAGAGGGTGTGTGCTCACTTCCTGTTGTGGTGTTTGTGTGTCCAGAGGAGAGGGTGTGTTCTCACTTCCTGTTGTGGTGTTTGTGTGTCCAGAGGAGAGGGTGTGTTCTCACTTCCTGTTGTGGTGTTTGTGTGTCCAGAGGAGAGGGTGTGTGCTCACTTCCTGTTGTGGTGTTTGTGTGTCCAGAGGAGAGGGTGTGTTCTCACTTCCTGTTGTGGTGTTTGTGTGTCCAGAGGAGAGGGTGTGTGCTCACTTCCTGTTGTGGTGTTTGTGTGTCCAGAGGAGAGGGTGTGTTCTCACTTCCTGTTGTGGTGTTTGTGTGTCCAGAGGAGAGGGTGTGTTCTCACTTCCTGTTGTGGTGTTTGTGTGTCCAGAGGAGAGGGTGTGTGCTCACTTCCTGTTGTGGTGTTTGTGTGTCCAGAGGAGAGGGTGTGTGCTCACTTCCTGTTGTGGTGTTTGTGTGTCCAGAGGAGAGGGTGTGTGCTCACTTCCTGTTGTGGTGTTTGTGTGTCCAGAGGAGAGGGTGTGTGCTCACTTCCTGTTGTGGTGTTTGTGTGTCCAGAGGAGAGGGTGTGTGCTCACTTCCTGTTGTGGTGTTTGTGTGTCCAGAGGAGAGGGTGTGTGCTCACTTCCTGTTGTGGTGTTTGTGTGTCCAGAGGAGAGGGTGTGTTCTCACTTCCTGTTGTGGTGTTTGTGTGTCCAGAGGAGAGGGTGTGTTCTCACTTCCTGTTGTGATGTTTGTGTGTCCAGAGGAGAGGGTGTGTTCTCACTTCCTGTTGTGGTGTTTGTGTGTCCAGAGGAGAGGGTGTGTGCTCACTTCCTGTTGTGGTGTTTGTGTGTCCAGAGGAGAGGGTGTGTGCTCACTTCCTGTTGTGGTGTTTGTGTGTCCAGAGGAGAGGGTGTGTACTCACTTCCTGTTGTGGTGTTTGTGGTTGTGTGTCCAGAGGAGAGGGTGTGTACTCACTTCCTGTTGTGGTGTTTGTGTGTCCAGAGGAGAGGGTGTGTGCTCACTTCCTGTTGTGGTGTTTGTGTGTCCAGAGGAGAGGGTGTGTGCTCACTTCCTGTTGTGGTGTTTGTGTGTCCAGAGGAGAGGGTGTGTACTCACTTCCTGTTGTGGTGTTTGTGGTTGTGTGTCCAGAGGAGAGGGTGTGTACTCACTTCCTGTTGTGGTGTTTGTGTGTCCAGAGGAGAGGGTGTGTGCTCACTTCCTGTTGTGGTGTTTGTGTGTCCAGAGGAGAGGGTGTGTTCTCACTTCCTGTTGTGGTGTTTGTGTGTCCAGAGGAGAGGGTGTGTGCTCACTTCCTGTTGTGGTGTTTGTGTGTCCAGAGGAGAGGGTGTGTACTCACTTCCTGTTGTGGTGTTTGTGGTTGTGTGTCCAGAGGAGAGGGTGTGTACTCACTTCCTGTTGTGGTGTTTGTGTGTCCAGAGGAGAGGGTGTGTGCTCACTTCCTGTTGTGGTGTTTGTGTGTCCAGAGGAGAGGGTGTGTGCTCACTTCCTGTTGTGGTGTTTGTGTGTCCAGAGGAGAGGGTGTGTACTCACTTCCTGTTGTGGTGTTTGTGGTTGTGTGTCCAGAGGAGAGGGTGTGTACTCACTTCCTGTTGTGGTGTTTGTGTGTCCAGAGGAGAGGGTGTGTGCTCACTTCCTGTTGTGGTGTTTGTGTGTCCAGAGGAGAGGGTGTGTTCTCACTTCCTGTTGTGGTGTTTGTGTGTCCAGAGGAGAGGGTGTGTGCTCACTTCCTGTTGTGGTGTTTGTGTGTCCAGAGGAGAGGGTGTGTACTCACTTCCTGTTGTGGTGTTTGTGTGTCCAGAGGAGAGGGTGTGTGCTCACTTCCTGTTGTGGTGTTTGTGTGTCCAGAGGAGAGGGTGTGTACTCACTTCCTGTTGTGGTGTTTGTGTGTCCAGAGGAGAGGGTGTGTGCTCACTTCCTGTTGTGGTGTTTGTGTGTCCAGAGGAGAGGGGTGTGTGCTCACTTCCTGTTGTGGTGTTTGTGTGTCCAGAGGAGAGGGTGTGTGCTCACTTCCTGTTGTGGTGTTTGTGTGTCCAGAGGAGAGGGTGTGTGCTCACTTCCTGTTGTGGTGTTTGTGTGTCCAGAGGAGAGGGTGTGTTCTCACTTCCTGTTGTGGTGTTTGTGTGTCCAGAGGAGAGGGTGTGTGCTCACTTCCTGTTGTGGTGTTTGTGTGTCCAGAGGAGAGGGTGTGTTCTCACTTCCTGTTGTGGTGTTTGTGTGTCCAGAGGAGAGGGTGTGTTCTCACTTCCTGTTGTGGTGTTTGTGTGTCCAGAGGAGAGGGTGTGTGCTCACTTCCTGTTGTGGTGTTTGTGTGTCCAGAGGGGAGGGTGTGTGCTCACTTCCTGTTGTGGTGTTTGTGTGTCCAGAGGAGAGGGTGTGTTCTCACTTCCTGTTGTGGTGTTTGTGTGTCCAGAGGAGAGGGTGTGTTCTCACTTCCTGTTGTGGTGTTTGTGTGTCCAGAGGAGAGGGTGTGTGCTCACTTCCTGTTGTGGTGTTTGTGTGTCCAGAGGGGAGGGTGTGTGCTCACTTCCTGTTGTGGTGTTTGTGTGTCCAGAGGAGAGGGTGTGTGCTCACTTCCTGTTGTGGTGTTTGTGTGTCCAGAGGAGAGGGTGTGTTCTCACTTCCTGTTGTGGTGTTTGTGTGTCCAGAGGAGAGGGTGTGTACTCACTTCCTGTTGTGGTGTTTGTGTGTCCAGAGGAGAGGGTGTGTGCTCACTTCCTGTTGTGGTGTTTGTGTGTCCAGAGGAGAGGGTGTGTGCTCACTTCCTGTTGTGGTGTTTGTGTGTCCAGAGGAGAGGGTGTGGACGGTGGTCGCACACAACAGCACTGCTCCTGTCACAGTCGTGGGGTCCTCCGTCTTCAAACCTCATGTTGTGAAACTCAACTACGGCTCCTCCTCTTCACAACTGCAGGCCGTGGTCCAGGCCTCGGAGCACTGCCAACAGGAAGTGGTCTACAGCTGCAGGAAGTCCCGCCTCTTCAACTCTAAAGGTATTCACTTTGTTGTTTTGAGACTGACAAACAGATATGACTTGGATTGATCAAGGATTAATTATTTAAATATATCCAAACAAGTATCTATCTATCCATCCCCTGTTCCCAGTCGTAACAGGGCCTTTCTGAGTGGAGTTTGCATGTTCTCCCCGTGTCTGCGTAGGTTTCCTCCAGGTACTCCGGTTATGCCTACCACTAAAAACATGTACAATAGTTCAAGGTGAATGAGTGTGTGTTTGTGAAAGCGAACGTGGGACAACAATGCTAATTAGCCCAACGCTACAATCCGGATGGATGTGTTCATGAACATGTCCCGTCCCAACAACAAACCATAAATAAATAAATATGGACTCTATCTATTCTTAGTGTTCAAGCTTTAACCTTTAATAAATAACACAAACCAACAGAAGGAGTAATGTTAAAGTTGTTAAAGATATTGTGCAGTTTTTACTCCCATCTAACATTCAGATTATATGTTGTAATTTATGGTACTACGGAAGCCTTCGCAGGACAATATGTGGTCTTTCCCTTATCAACCTCTGTATTTCAAGATGGCGGATTCACACAGTCACCTCAGGACATTTATACTGTAAATCACATTCTCAGTCTAAAGCCCTATTCGGACGGTAATATGTAATAATCACGGAGGACGTCTGTAATCTTAGTCCCGTGCGAATGTGGCATGTCTGTAATTTGTAAAGTAATAATTCCGCCGCAAACGACCTCCTGTATTTGTCCAAACACAGACGTTCTCTGATAATACTAATCCTGTGTGAATCTGCAGGTCAGTGCTTGTGATCGCTATTGCTGCTTTCTCTTTACTTTCTGCCTTGTTTTCGTCAATAAGCAGAGGAGTCTCTTATCGCGGCTGTGTACACAGCTGCAGAGTCGGGGCTGCTGCTGTGTCTGTGAGGTCTGTGGAGAAGAGGACAGTGTAATGTGTCACTGACACTAATCATCAGACCGATGCGTACGTTTACTCTGCACTCAGTCCTTTTGTCCTCATGGTGCCTGTGGCTGCTGTGGTCAGACACCAGTCTCTATGGTCAGACAGCAGTCTCTGTGGTCAGACACCAGTCTCTGTGGTCACCAGTCTCTATGGTCAGACACCAGTCTCTGTGGTCAGTCACCAGTCTCTGTGGTCAGACACCAGTCTCTGTGGTCACCAGTCTCTATGGTCAGTCACCAGTCTCTGTGGTCAGTCACCAGTCTCTGTGGTCAGTCACCAGTCTCTGTGGTCAGTCACCAGTCTCTGTGGTCAGACACCAGTCTCTGTGGTCACCAGTCTCTGTGGTCAGACACCAGTCTCTGTGGTCAGACACCAGTCTCTGTGGTCAGACACCAGTCTCTGTGGTCAGACACCAGTCTCTGTGGTCAGACACCAGTCTCTGTGGTCAGTCACCAGTCTCTGTGGTCAGACACCAGTCTCTGTGGTCAGACACCAGTCTCTGTGGTCAGTCACCAGTCTCTGTGGTCAGACACCAGTCTCTGTGGTCAGACACCAGTCTCTGTGGTCAGACACCAGTCTCTGTGGTCAGTCACCAGTCTCTATGGTCAGTCACCAGTCTCTGTGGTCAGACACCAGTCTCTGTGGTCAGTCACCAGTCTCTGTGGTCAGACACCAGTCTCTGTGGTCAGTCACCAGTCTCTGTGGTCAGTCACCAGTCTCTGTGGTCAGTCACCAGTCTCTGTGGTCAGACACCAGTCTCTGTGGTCACCAGTCTCTGTGGTCAGTCACCAGTCTCTGTGGTCAGACACCAGTCTCTGTAGTCAGTCACCAGTCTCTGTGGTCACCAGTCTCTGTGGTCAGTCACCAGTCTCTGTGGTCAGTCACCAGTCTCTGTGGTCAGACACCAGTCTCTGTGGTCAGTCACCAGTCTCTGTGGTCAGACACCAGTCTCTGTGGTCAGACACCAGTCTCTGTGGTCAGTCACCAGTCTCTGTGGTCAGACACCAGTCTCTGTGGTCAGTCACCAGTCTCTGTGGTCAGACACCAGTCTCTGTGGTCAGACTGCAGTCTCTATGGTCAGTCACCAGTCTCTGTGGTCAGACACCAGTCTCTGTGGTCACCAGTCTCTGTGGTCAGTCACCAGTCTCTATGGTCAGTCACCAGTCTCTGTGGTCAGACACCAGTCTCTGTGGTCAGTCACCAGTCTCTGTGGTCAGACACCAGTCTCTGTGGTCAGTCACCAGTCTCTGTGGTCAGACACCAGTCTCTGTGGTCAGACACCAGTCTCTGTGGTCAGTCACCAGTCTCTATGGTCAGTCACCAGTCTCTGTGGTCAGACACCAGTCTCTATGGTCAGTCACCAGTCTCTGTGGTCAGACACCAGTCTCTGTGGTCAGTCACCAGTCTCTGTGATCAGACACCAGTCTCTATGGTCAGTCACCAGTCTCTGTGGTCAGTCACCAGTCTCTGTGGTCAGTCACCAGTCTCTGTGGTCAGTCACCAGTCTCTGTGGTCAGTCACCAGTCTCTGTGGTCAGACACCAGTCTCTGTGGTCAGACACCAGTCTCTATGGTCAGTCACCAGTCTCTATGGTCAGACACCAGTCTCTGTGGTCAGACACCAGTCTCTGTGGTCAGACACCAGTCTCTATGGTCAGACAGCAGTCTCTATGGTCAGACACCAGTCCCGTGCGAATGCGCTGTCCTATCTCAGACCAGTCCTCCGTGATTATCACAAATTTCCAGGGGTCCACATGTAAAACTAATCCCGTCCGAAAAGGGCTTACAGTAAAACAACAATTCAAAACCATGGTGGAGGTAAATATTCTTAAAAAGGTCACATTTGTTTTGGTTAATATGTTGTTTTTTTTCATTTGGAACAACTGTAAAAATGACACAGAGGAACCTTTAAATCAGATTTTTTTAATAGTATTAAAGCTTGTGGTGTAAATGCCCAGTGGGTCACTTTCTGAGGCTTTAGGCTGAGAGCTGATTGGCTGAATGCAGGAGGCCCTTCCCTTTTCTGTTTGAAAGAGTGTGTGTTGTGGTTTGAAAGTCAGGCTCCAAAGCTCAGTGTGTAGAGCATTGGCCTTTGAGCCTGAAGGTCGTGGGTTCGAGTCCACCATAAGACTTTCTCCACCGCCTCCTGCTGAGGTCTGCTGTCGTTGTGTCCTTGGGCAAGACACTTAACCTCTGGGAACAGCAGGTGCCACAGTGGGGCGGCTGCGGCTGTAAAGTGCCAAACTGTGGTTGTGTCCTTAGGCAAGACACTTCCCCCACATTAGAATGAGTCTGGTGTGTGTGTGAGTGGTTGGTGGTGGTGGGAGGGGCCGATGGCACAGACTGGTTGCCTCGCTTCTGTGAGTGTGCCCCAGGGCAGCTGTGGCTACAGTAGTTCATCACCACTGTGTTTGAAGTAAAACAATGATGTGAAGAGACTTTGAGAGTCTGAAAAAGTGCTGCATAAAAATCCTCAACTCATCTGTTCGTCTAACCTGCAGAGATTGTGTTTAGCTTCAACTCCAGGGAAGACTCTTTAGTGACAGTAACACAATAATCTTCATCATCAATAAATTAATAAATAAATGAATAAATTACACTAAAGGCCTTTTATGGGTTCTGTCTGTACGTAATTTCTTTATATAATTATACTCTAGTTCATTTTTTTGTGTCTGTATTTTTTTGCTTTTGTTTGTCTTTTCTCATCTGTTCACTCTGCACCTGTTCACTCTGCACCTGTTCAGTCTGCACCTGTTCACTCTGCATCTGTTCACTCTGCACCTGTTCACTCTGCACCTGTTCAGTCTGCATCTGTTCAGTCTGCATCTGTTCAGTCTGCATCTGTTCACTCTGCATCTGTTCACTCTGCATCTGTTCAGTCTGCATCTGTTCACTCTGCACCTGTTCACTCTGCATCTGTTCAGTCTGCATCTGTTCAGTCTGCATCTGTTCACTCTGCATCTGTTCACTCTGCATCTGTTCACTCTGCACCTGTTCAGTCTGCACCTGTTCACTCTGCATCTGTTCACTCTGCACCTGTTCACTCTGCATCTGTTCAGTCTGCATCTGTTCACTCTGCATCTGTTCACTCTGCATCTGTTCAGTCTGCATCTGTTCACTCTGCATCTGTTCACTCTGCATCTGTTCACTCTGCATCTGTTCAGTCTGCATCTGTTCACTCTGCATCTGTTCACTCTGCATCTGTTCACTCTGCATCTGTTCAGTCTGCATCTGTTCACTCTGCATCTGTTCACTCTGCATCTGTTCACTCTGCATCTGTTCACTCTGCATCTGTTCACTCTGCATCTGTTCACTCTGCACCTGTTCAGTCTGCACCTGTTCACTCTGCATCTGTTCACTCTGCACCTGTTCACTCTGCATCTGTTCAGTCTGCACCTGTTCACTCTGCATCTGTTCACTCTGCATCTGTTCAGTCTGCACCTGTTCACTCTGCATCTGTTCAGTCTGCATCTGTTCAGTCTGCACCTGTTCACTCTGCATCTGTTCAGTCTGCATCTGTTCAGTCTGCACCTGTTCACTCTGCATCTGTTCACTCTGCACCTGTTCACTCTGCACCTGTTCAGTCTGCATCTGTTCACTCTGCATCTGTTCACTCTGCATCTGTTCAGTCTGCATCTGTTCAGTCTGCACCTGTTCACTCTGCATCTGTTCAGTCTGCACCTGTTCACTCTGCATCTGTTCACTCTGCATCTGTTCACTCTGCATCTGTTCACTCTGCATCTGTTCAGTCTGCATCTGTTCAGTCTGCATCTGTTCAGTCTGCATCTGTTCAGTCTGCACCTGTTCACTCTGCATCTGTTCAGTCTGCATCTGTTCAGTCTGCATCTGTTCAGTCTGCATCTGTTCAGTCTGCACCTGTTCACTCTGCATCTGTTCAGTCTGCACCTGTTCACTCTGCATCTGTTCACTCTGCATCTGTTCAGTCTGCACCTGTTCACTCTGCATCTGTTCACTCTGCATCTGTTCACTCTGCATCTGTTCACTCTGCATCTGTTCAGTCTGCATCTGTTCAGTCTGCATCTGTTCACTCTGCATCTGTTCACTCTGCACCTGTTCAGTCTGCACCTGTTCACTCTGCATCTGTTCACTCTGCACCTGTTCACTCTGCATCTGTTCACTCTGCATCTGTTCAGTCTGCATCTGTTCAGTCTGCATCTGTTCAGTCTGCACCTGTTCACTCTGCATCTGTTCAGTCTGCACCTGTTCACTCTGCATCTGTTCACTCTGCACCTGTTCACTCTGCATCTGTTCACTCTGCATCTGTTCACTCTGCATCTGTTCACTCTGCATCTGTTCACTCTGCACCTGTTCAGTCTGCACCTGTTCACTCTGCATCTGTTCACTCTGCACCTGTTCACTCTGCATCTGTTCACTCTGCATCTGTTCACTCTGCATCTGTTCACTCTGCACCTGTTCAGTCTGCACCTGTTCACTCTGCATCTGTTCACTCTGCATCTGTTCACTCTGCACCTGTTCACTCTGCATCTGTTCACTCTGCATCTGTTCAGTCTGCATCTGTTCAGTCTGCATCTGTTCAGTCTGCACCTGTTCACTCTGCATCTGTTCAGTCTGCACCTGTTCACTCTGCATCTGTTCACTCTGCATCTGTTCACTCTGCATCTGTTCACTCTGCATCTGTTCACTCTGCACCTGTTCAGTCTGCACCTGTTCACTCTGCATCTGTTCAGTCTGCACCTGTTCACTCTGCACCTGTGTGTTTGTGTTACTGTTCCCTGGTAAGTGGTTTTTGTCATTGTGTATGTTTAGTATGTACACATTGTGAGTGTATTGTAATGCTGTTTAATAGTGCTGTCCCGTGGTGAGGGCGTCTCTGACACGTGAGCCCATAATGAAGGAGAGCTCTGTGCTAACAATGCTAACGATGCTAACGACGCTTTACATGGTATTGACTGATGTCTACAAATAGCTGCAGCGCCTGTGGTTGCTCTAATGGCCGTCGCTCTGGTGTGACTCTGACCTTCATCGATAAAAGGCACTGATCCCGGCTTTAGTTTCACCTTCAGACGCAAAGACACAGATTGAGCTGCTTTAGTTGTCACTTGTCGTCAGTGTGTCTGTTTTGGTGATCAGTTGTTTTGTTGAGGTCAGATTCTGCTGCGAAGGCTGAAGGAAAGTTGGCATTTTACCATTTTTATAGTAATTGATGCTTGAATGGGCCTTTTTTATCTAGTTTATTTATTCTGGTAAAAGAGAGAGGAAGGTTTACATTTTTGATAAAGTTAGGAACACCAGCTTTAAGCATTTTCCCCAAAAATACATTAGTGTGTATTAGTGTGGATCTACACAGATGTTTGAATATAATGAGGCCATTTCTTATTTCAGAGGCTCAGACTGGCCTTGACCACATCTGCTGCTGCTGTGGTTTTCCTAAGGGCTGTTGTGAAAGAACAATAACATTCCATCCAGAGTTTATAAAACAACAGGTCAGATTTGTAATGTTCCAATGGTCGTCACAGATGTATTTGTTCTGTTTAAGCCGATTTCCCGCTCTCTCAGAGACGTCTCGGGTCTAACCTCCAGAACATAGTGATTGACATTTCTTATTTTATACCTTTGTGTGTTCTGAGTGAAGTAGAGAGGAAGAGGAGGCTGAGGAGGAAGAGGAGGCAGAGGCCATTAGGCAAGGCAGGCAGCTGCCTGGGGCCCCCAAACCGGCAGGGGGCCCTTAAGGGGCCACTGATTTGACACAAGCGGTCGACTTGACTGCAGGAGCTCCTGCAGTGTCGAGTTGGCGGATAAACACTTTTCATCTGATGCAAAACTTGCCACAGTCTTCATGACAGTTAAAAAGCCTGCCCGGGGCAGATTATTCACTGTGTGTAGTGGTCTGCAGTGGTCCAGTGGTTCAGCTGCAGCTTGTGACGGCCCGGGTCGAATCCAAATGAGAGCAATGTTTTGGATTAAACTATTATATTCTATGACAGATTACTCAAGAACGGTAAAAGATTTTTTTCAGATTAAAGCTAAGAGCCTTATCTTTAATCTAGACCAGTGTCTCCCAAAGTGGGGTCCGCGGCCCCCTGGTGGGCCGCGAGGGTACTGCAAGGGGGCCGCGGGAGGTCATAAAAAAAATAAAAAAAAATAGTATAATTATTTAATGTTAAATTTATAATGTTTTGTTTGTAATATTAAAATATTTGTGTTCATTATTTGACTTGAATAATCCACTGTAATCATTTTTGTATTACAATGTTTGTAGCAGAGGCTATTTCCCCAAAATAAAATAACCAGAAGAGCCTATTCTTAATGTTGTCTTCTTGGTTATTATTTTGGGGGGCCACGCAGACCCGTCAGATTTTTAAGGGGGCCTCGGTGTTACTGAGTTTGGGAATGGCTGATCTAGACTATATAAACACTGAGGGCCAAATGACAGATTAGGTTTTGTAGGATTAATACACTTTGAGAGGTAGTTTTTGTAATTAATTATAACATGATTAGTTTATTGAACAAACTTATACATGCTAAATTATTTCTCATTGCTTTGTGTCACAATAAGTGCTGAAGTATTCACAACAGTCTATGGTAGACTGCACCAGGCAGGCTCCAGGCCGATCTATTTATTGGTAAAAATAAGAAATGATCTACATTTAATTTATATTAATGTAAACAAGAAATAGATATTGCATTTTACCTTATTATTAAATATATATTTATACCTACTGTAGTATAAACCTTTTTATGTGGTTGGTATTGGGGCCCCCAAGGACCAGGGGTACCCTTGGAACGCCACTGGGCAGAGGAAGAGGAGGCAGAGGAAGAG